CGGGCCACCGGGAGCGGGTCCAATCGCTCACGCTGTGACGCCAACACGTCTGTGCTTCGACGGGTCGTGGCTGTGTCTACACGGGCGTCCGGCATGAGGCGCAACTTTTTTAACATCTACGAGGAGACGAGCGACGTTGACATTCCGTCGGCTACAGGCCAGAGCGCGAATGTTGCACGAGGCGAACCGTCGACGACAGAGACCCGAGTACACGATAAGAAATTGCAGCCGTCACTCACCACGGCGGCAGCGGGTCATGGTGGGTACCGGGCCACATCGACCCCCACACCTACCACCCCTCTGAATCGGTCGCAGGATGTCGTCAGGGGATCGGCGTTTTCAGGTAACTCCGCGAGGCCGTCGCCGCTCACACCGACCACAACACTTAAGCACAGTGGTGTGGAAGCCGAGTCTAACGCGGCACCATCTCGTGGCGGGGGGGTGGTGAACCGGACCTTGTTCGCTTCGCCGCCCAGGATGCATCCTTCTAAAACTGCCGGCTCGCCTTCTAACATTACCCCTGCCACGCCCTTGGTAGCACCTTCACCGCAGGTGCACGACCGTGGTCCGGACGGAGCTGGTGTGTTGCCTGGCATGATTCCCACGCCCTTCCTGGACACATGCGAGGACACTCACGCCAGTGTCCGTGGAGCGGACACCGTTCTTGGCGGCGATGGGTGTCGAGACGACGTCGCAGGGCGTGCGATGGAGCAAATACGGCTGCTGTGGGCGGAGGTTCAGGCGACTCGTGGGACAAAGAGTCCGACGGCTGCGGCACAAGGGGGCGTGATGAACTTCACCCTTGGCGAAGACCTGCAAGCGGCTCTTGCGGGAATGGACGGCGAAGCGGCGGAAGAGTCGGGCAAAGGTGGCGGAGTTGTAACGCCAGCCGTGGCAGCCCAGCCGCAGGTGTGGAGGCCTGGCGGCAGGACTGGAGATGCACCCCAACAGAGTGGGGTTCGGAGGGATGCGTCCGTGGCGACGCAAGCACCAACACGACCCCCCGGAAGAGCTGCCAAAGAGTTAGCGCCTGTTGCAGAGGCATTTGAGCGGCCAAACCGCGGATTCGCAATGAACCGACTGTCTGGAGCTGGGAGGCTGGCGGTCGTGGGGAACCACGTGGCAACCCGGGTGGGCGGTGTTGGCGTGGGGACAGAGACGGGGAGGGCCGCGGGGAGCGTAGCGCCTGATGGTGTTGTCTGGGATCGACACGCGTCAGGCATGCAAGGAAGAGGGTTGAAGCGAGAGCGGTCGAAGATGACGATCGTGGTCGACTACAACCCAAACGATGACAGGCCTGATTTGCAGCCGGGAATGCCTTCGGCAGACCAGATACACGTATGTGGACTAGGAATTCCTGGATAATTGTACGCATGTGGCCTCGGTGTGGTTGTGATGTTAAGCCTGGCGGTTTGCCCTGTTGTAGTCTCCATAGTCTAGTGTCGAAACTGCTCTGTTCCCGTGGCGTCGTGGTTCCCCCCACCCCCCCCCCCCCCACCCCCCCCCTACCAACCCCGCCCCCCAGTTTTACGCCAAGAAGGCGATGCATCTGCTGTTGCGTTCATGCGCCGCGCATGGCGTAACGTACTGGCCGACGGACGACGAGAGGAACGTGGCCCTTCTCGTGGTGCTCCGGTGCCACTACGAAGTCTGTCAGCTAGACGTTGACCGTGCGATGAAGAACGGGGCGTACAGCAAGGTGGTCAACAAGATCTGGTCAAAGTTCAGGAGGATCTGCAGCGGAAATACGCGCCCAGTGAGTGTCGTGGGTGCATGGAGGGGATCCCCATGGAGGGCTCACAGGGCAGGGCCTATGTATGCTGGGGCTGCTTTAACCACATACTTGCCTGCCGCACCGTGTACAGAGAAGGAGCTTATGCAGCTTGTATCGACATGGAGCTGCGAGAAAGGGGATTTGCGGCCGTTTACCACCAAGGTCTTTTTCCAAGCATGCAAGGCGGCCTACCCAGAGTGGGTGTTTGGAGGCAACCTGGTGCTGGTGCCATACCACATCGCCTGGGTCTTGTATTCCGTGAGTGGATTGAAGCTATTCGTTCCGTGTTCTAAGTGGCCCCATGTATCCCACTGACAGTGTTCTGCAATTAACCTGATGGCAGTTCGATTTCGGGATACGCAACTGGGAGACAACAGCGATATGCATGACTCCCAGCCCTCTTGACAACGAGGGGGGGCTAGGTTACTGTAACGAGCAGGTGCTGAAAGTGATCACCCATTGGCTGGGTGTGTCAAAGGGCATGTGGTACGATCCAGTTGTGGGCGGATTCAGGTGGGGGGCAGAGCACCTGTATGTAAACGAGAGTGACCTGGAGGAGTTCAAGCCCGTGCAATATGGGGGAAAGATGGACCCGGGTGGTGACACCGATGAGCCGTGGTATGCATGATGTTGTCAGATTGTGGTTCAGGGATTTTGGGGGACTAGTCTTGCATGTCAGAGCTTATATGATCGCCCTGTTATTACGGGTCCGTAGTGTGGGTGCAGTATATGTGTAGGTTAGCTACTAGTAGTGTACAGTTGATTGCTATGTAAATAAATGCGACAGAAAATGTAATATACGTTATGCTTCACAAATTGTTATATGCGTTACGCGTTCGATGGGTTAGTGGATCATATTGTATCGAGGATGCGATGCGGTCGTGTACACCATGGGCATAATATGTTGCGTCCGATATAAACGTAACCCATGTAACAAGTATCGACGCACTCAATGACGGGGATTAGGCGGTTTGTGTGCTAGACACGTGTGACCTAAGTCTGCCCTTGGAGCGACTTTTGGGTCAGTCTATCTGACCCGTACCTGTCTTTTCCCGCCAAAATCTAACCCGTACCTGACCCGTACCTGACCCGAAAGTCGCTTTTGGGTTAGCCTCTCTGACCTCAGACTAACCTAAAGTGTCAGATCCAAAAGTAACTTATGGGTCAGATTTCCAGATGTCCCCAATCTTGCCCGGAAGTCACCTGGGGGGCCCTTTTGGGTCAGTACATTTTAGGGATGGTTTTTTTGCCCTGGTTGATAATTGTAAGAAATTTTCTTAACATTCCTTTCTGTATACGACAACATCGTGTACAGAGGACAGCTGCCAACTCACACGTACCAGCACATGCAATCTTGTATGTTTACAACACACAACGCACTTACAAAGATATAGGCTGCAATTTTTAAAACTGGAAGCCAAGAAGGGTCGAATTGGTTCAACCTTCCTAACTTGTATACTAATTTTGTGTAATACTACTCCAAAATCTTGGCCAATTGTGTTTCCCAACCAGGCTTCCTAAGATTTAGGTTTTGTGGCTGTGTTGCCAGTGAGGGTTGGAAAGCTCACGGATTTTAAGTCCTTGGTTTTGGTAGGTTCGCACACAGAAGTCACCGTGGTGGTCCTGACCATCACTTTTACGCTCGGTGTCGTGGTTGGCTGGGTCGTGGCTGCCATTTTCACGGGCGTGGTGGTTGACTTGGTGGTGCCTGCCAGTTTTACGGCGGTTGGGGTCGACTCGACGGATTTCTGGAGGTGGTTCACAGTCCCTCCCCCGCCAAGAATGCGCCGCGTGGAGACAAATCGCGTGGATGCTGCTGCACAGAGAACAGCGGAAGTGCTTAGGTCGACAAGGAGAGTAAGTCGAAGAACTAGTATAACCGAATGTAGCATGATATTTCGATGCGTATAGATACCTCATCAAAATACTACCGATTCTGGCTCAGGTAGTAGACTACCGTTCGGAATGCATGATGGCACTAGTATATTCAAAGGAGCGAGCTTACCAGCCGCAACATACGATGCTGACGTCACGAGCAGCAAAAACAGAAGCACCGGCAGCAGCGCCTTGGTGGCAACACCTTGCTTTGTCCGAGCCATTAGTGGCAAAGGCGTTTATCCCGACTCGCAATGTAAGCGTGAGAGGACAGCAAGAACGGAGTGGCTGGCTGGGAAGCTCGTGAAGAATGTAAATGACGAGCCTGTTATATATGGAGTGGGACAGGTTTCTGTGGAACAGCAGCGGCGCTCGCGCAGTGTTCGGCTCGGGAGTGTGAGTGGGGATCTTGCAAGGGAGAGGAGGAAGACGGCTCTCGGGGAGGTTCGATCTGGCGGGATTATATTTTTCGCGCCAGGTTGAATGAAGTGTGGGATATGCGGGTTGCGCATGTTTCGCAGTCGTTGCGAAGACGTAGCGTTCCTCGCGAATTGAGATTTTTCCAACAGCGGCGTATGCGCAAACCCAATCCAGCCCAGATTATGCGCACTCGCGTCGCAGGTTTTTTCGAACATCGGAGAGGCTGGCGCAGGGGATCTCTGTTGTAGGCCAAATCGCGGGTTCACATTCGCCCCTGTTTTTACAAACCTGTTTTCATGGAGGGTTTGTCATCAATATAATTTTATTACTGGGGGGGCGGGCTCTACTGCTTTTTGCATCTTGCTCACGCCATTATTGATTAATTCACCCATCTCAAGTTGTATGTACGCCCTAGTTAGCCACGTTGATGGAGCCCTGATTTGTCTCGTGGCATGGAAAGAGGTATCTCTGTTTTTCCCACTGTACACACTCTCTTGCACCGGTAGTATTTACTTCGTGCATCTGTGTTTCTCGTGCCCATGCTTCCGCACCCCACCACCCTCAGTCTCAAACCCAGTACTCTCATCCTCATCATAAGCTGTCTTATTTATGGTCGCTGACCCTTGACCGCATCACCTGGGCATTTTGCTACTCCAACTTGCATCTCATGCCAGTGTGCTGTGCTGCTATATCACCATGTCTCCATGTCACTCTCAATCCGCACATCACTATCGAACTGATCCCTGTCTGTCAGTCACTCTCACTGACTCAAACTACATCTATAAGCGATATCGTACATTGATTGGGTTGCTGTGCTGTATACACTATATTGGGTGGACGTCTCCAAACGAGGGCCGTTTTGGCCATCCGAGAACACAAAATGGTTGAGCCCAGCTCCTTCCTAACTCCCCTCTCCTTGCTCAATCCAAAATCACTCTGCTTTGTTTGTCCCTTCACCAACACCATTATTCACAGCGTCTTCGTCCTCTTCACGCACCCCCGCACCCACCCGTTTTCGCAACCCCTCGCCCCCTCTCTCCGCCGCAACCCCCTTTGCTTCTCTGCTGGCCCTCAGTGCTTCCTCCTCCCCCTTCCCTCTCTCCCCAGCCTTCCCTTCCCTCCCTCCCTTCCCTTCTCTCTCCTTCCGCCGTTTCGCCTCCAGAGCCGCCTTGTGCGGTTTCAGGTAGATGCGGTAGAAGGCTGCTGCGAGCACGGCACCGGCGGTGGGAGCAGCCCAGTAGACTATGAAGTGCTGCACCGACATCTCCTGATCCAAAGTGTACACCCACCCGAACGCCTGGAGGAAGGGAGTGGGGAGTGACAGGGGGTTGAGAGACGAGGAGGTAAGGATGAGATGAAGGTGGTTTAGTAGACTGTGAAGTGCTGCACCGAGATCCCTTGATCCAATGTGGACACCCACTCGAATTCCTGAAGGAGGGGAGGACAGTGGCGAGTGGGGAGGTGACGAGAGGCAGACATCCCGATATAAGGAGGAAGGATGAGGTGATGAAGGTGGGAGCCACCCAGTACTCTATGAAGTATTGTACTGACATCTCGTGATCCAATGTGTACACACGCCCAAACGCCTGGAGGAGCAAGCCCAAACGCCTGGAGGGAAAAAAAAAAAAAAAAAAAAAAAAAAAAAAAAAAAAAAATGATTGTTAGAGCAGCCCAGTAGACTATGAATATCATCTCGCACCGACAACTTGACAGAGGGGAGAGCGGTACAATGTGTAGCCCAAATGCCTGACAGAGGGGAGCGCGGTGGCGAGTAGGGAGGTGAGGAAAGACAAAAACCCCGATATGACAAGGAAGGATGAGATGATGATTGTTGGAGCAGCCCGGTAGGCTATCAAATGCTGTAGTGACATCTCTCGATCCAACGTATACACAAATCCAAAAGCCGGCCGGAGGGGTGGGGGGGAGAAGGGAGGTGGAGAGTGACAAGGAATCATGAAATGGGGAAGAGTGGATGAGATGAAGGTGGGAACATCCCAGTAGGCTACGAAGTGTTGCCCTGTCATCTCTTGATCCAGTGTGTACACCTATCTGAACGCCTGCAGGAGGGGAGAGGGGAGGAATAGGGAAGGAGACGAGCAGTGGGGGAAGATACGTGCGGGACAGAGCAGCCCGGTAGAACATCGAGTGCCTGGCTGACATATCCTGATCCAACATTGGCACCCACCCAATCGACTGGAGGAAGTGAGTGCGGAGGAGTAACGAGGCAGGGAGTGGTAAGGAATAAGGACATGAGGAAGAAGGAAGGATGAGATGAAGGCAGGATGAGTGAACCGGGAAATGCTGCCGTGGCATTTCTTGAACCAGCTGGTGCATTTCTAGAGTGAGTCAGGAGAGAGGGAGGGTGCTTACAAAGAGGGGGTTCAGGGAAGGACCAGAGAAGCGCATGCCAGCAGCAATAGCCACTATTGTGGCTGAGACCATGATGAATTCCTTTAAGCGGTCGCTTCTGGGGCCCAGGAACAGTGTCCACATCACCACCAGGAACAGCAGAAACGTGAGCGTAAACTCCGCTGTCGCACCGGCCAATACCGAGACGCCAGGTGGCAGCGCGGGCCCGTTGACTGTGTGCTTGAGAGACTCCGGAATGAACGTCCACGTCAGCATGGCACCTATCACCATGCCACCTGCCTGATGACGTGGATGGGAGAGGGAGTGGAGGGGATAGAAGGAAGGGGGGGGAGGAAGGGGGGTGGAAGGAAGGGGGATAAGGGGGTTGGGATGGACAGGAAGGGAGTTGGATGGACACTCTGGGACAAAATCCCACGTCAGCATGGTGCCCATGACGATGCCACCTGCCTGGTGACGTGGATGGGTGGGAGGGGAGTGAAGTGAGAGGGGGAGGCAAGGGGACAGGAGAGGGGTTCGGATGAACCTCGAGGGATGGATGGGCTCGAGAAAGAAGCTTCATGTTGTGCGGTGCTGGGATGGGAGGTATGTGTCGTGATCCAGACACTATGAGAGCGCACTCAACCCATGCTTGTTGTAGGCGTTTCTTGAGAACTCCTGAAAAACACTCAAAAGAAAGCGCCGTGATCCAGACACTCTGAGAGCCCACTCAACGGATACCCACATGCCTGCCAACCCTCCCCTGTCCCCTGCCAGCCCTGTGGTCCCTGCCAGCATCTGAGCGGGGCAGGGGGCAGGGGGCAGGGGGCAGAGGGCAGGGGGCAGGGGGCAGGGGGCAGGGGGCAGGGGGCAGGGGGCAGGGGGCAGGGGGCAGGGGGCAGGGGGCAGATGGCAGGGGGCAGGGCGCAGAGGGTTGGCAGGCGGGGAGGCATGGGAAATTATTAAGACGTATTAGAAAAAGGGTGCCAGTCATCTGTGTGCTGCCAGTCATCTGTGTGCTGCCAGTCATCTGTGTGCTGCCAGTCATCTGTGTGCTGCCAGTACCTGAGCGGGGAGGCGCAGCAGCAAGCCGAGCGCCGTCTCGTCGTCCTCGTCAGCGAGGTAGTTGATGAGGTTCGTGAGCGGGTTATACGACGCCCCCCCCAGCGCGTCTGCCGCTCCCCCGAACCCCGCGACTTGAACGATGGTGATCGCCTGGTGCACACGGAGGGAGAGGCCGGAGAGAGAGGCACGAGGGAGCGGCATGAGGGAGAGGCATGAGGGAGAGGCATGAGGGAGAGGCATGAGGGAGAGGCATGAGGGAGAGGCATGAGGGAGAGGCATGAGGGAGAGGCATGAGGGAGAGGCATGAGGGAGAGGCACGAGGGAGAGGCACTCGGGATAGGCACTCGGGATAGGCACTCGGGATAGGCATGAGGGATAGGCATGAGGGAGAGGCATGAGGGAGAGGCATGAGGGAGAGGCATGAGGGAGAGGCATGAGGGAGAGGCACGAGGGAGAGGCACGAGGGAGAGGCATGAGGGAGAGGCACTCGGGATAGGCACTCGGGAGAGGCACTCGGGAGAGGCACTCGGGATAGGCACTCGGGATAGGCACTCGGGATAGGCACTCGGGATAGGCACTCGGGATAGGCGCTCGGGATAGGCACTCGGGATAGGCACTCGGGATAGGCATGAGGGAGAGGCATGAGGGAGAGGCATGAGGGAGAGGCATGAGGGAGAGGCATGAGGGAGAGGCATGAGGGAGAGGCATGAGGGAGAGGCACGAGGGATAGGCACTCGGGATAGGCATGAGGGAGAGGCATGAGGGAGAGGCATGAGGGAGAGGCATGAGGGAGAGGCATGAGGGAGAGGCATGAGGGAGAGGGACTGCATGTTTGTACCCCTGCTGAATCAATACAAAGGACCGTTTGAGAGAGAGAGAGAGAGAGAGAGAGAGAGAGAGAGAGAGAGAGAGAGAGAGAGAGAGAGAGAGAGAGAGAGAGAGAGAGAGAGAGAGAGAGACTTCCAAGAGCGTTACACAGTGGAAGCGTTGGATCCACCAGATTTGTGACATTTTAAGAGACCAGTCCTTATGCGCGAGTTAACATGTCGATACATTGCTACATCGCTACATTGTTACATTGCTAGATTGTTAAATTGTTACAGTTGCCTACCAAGAGGAGAGCGACGGAGGTTTTATCGTCCGCGGCGACGTATGGAGCGAGGACTGCCACTGTGGCTTCCGTACACGACACCCCTATCGCATAAACGATTCTGATCATTAGGGGAATTCCGCAGAAGCGGCGAGGGTTAGAACGAAAAAAAAAAAAACCAGTGGATGATGCCAGGGAAATCCGGATAACAAATTGTAATCTGCCCTGTTTCAACCAGACGAAGCGAGTAATAACATGCCGCCTAATTGATAAATTCAGAGCTGCTAGCATCTACCATCATACTTTCTCGTGTCTTCCCAAAGACATATTTTAACGTCTGTTCCGTACGTGAAAAGGAAGTCAGTGATGGCCAGCCGAACCACCTTTCCAGACGACATTGAATTCGCCATCCCACACCGCGCTTTCGACGGCCTAGCGGAAAAGTATCAGGGCTTAACTCGCGGTCTAAGATTCTGAGGCCTACGGAACTGAGAACGAGCTCCATGAAGGACGAGTTTAGGTCCTTTATCTAAGACGAAAAGCAAGCTAATCAGGGTCGCGAACTTAGCTCTTAGGAGAAAGGGGTGATCCTGATGAGGGTGTGGTTGAGCAGAGGTGGGCTTGCCAAAGTCTGGTTGTGCACGGTATTATCTGTTCCAGTAACTTTAATCACGGTGAAGAGTGGTGAGTGCCGAGTTACGGTGAAGGGTGATGAGAAGTGATGCAGAGACGTGCCGCTCAACCGTGCCGCCGGGTAGCGCGCTAAAGAAGGCCGGTACAGTGTTTGCGATTATTTTAATTCATAGGTTATTCTTTTCCGAAGACGTCGTTTTTCTGACTTATGTGCTGTTGTTCAGGGGCTCACAAGGGACAACAGATACGGAATTAGCCAATATATCACGTAAAAGGGACAGACACCGCATGCCAAAGATGCATAAAGAGTCTCAAATCATACCTGATATGAAAATTGTAACAAAAGCTGGACTATTGCATTCCTTATTGCGACACATGTAGCCTCTACAGCCTATGGCATGAACTTATGCAACAAAGCTGAATCTATGGTTAAATTTGCAAATCACTTCGCAGCTACAGTAACTGTCAATTGCACATACACACCTACCACGTATCTATAACAACTCTGTCAGACTATAATGCTGCTTATGTTGTGTAGGCTGTAGTGGGGTAGCCTATATGGGGTACAATCCAATTAGGGTTGGTACTTGTACTCAGTTTGATGTCAATGCAATCATTCCTGCTCATTAGTTTCTGACATGGTTTCAGAGCAGTAGGTCTGTAGTGTCAGAAGACGCTCTTAACTCTTGACTTAGTAACTTAGGAAGCGTAAGTGTCGAGAGTGAGCATGGCAAGAGAATTGGGCAAAGAGGGCATTCACTAAGGAATGTTTACAAGATATAGGATACGGGAGAGGATAGGGTACACCACCAGCAGTTGAACCTAATAACTAACTAATACACTAGCAAGCTGTAGGCAGTTAGGATATGCAATATAATTCAACACACCCCCGTAACTGCCTACGGCTATAGCTAGTGGTGTCTGGCACCAGGTCGCCTGGAGAGCGGTTGCTGTAGCTGGGATAGGCACAGAAACAGCGGTGGCTGACTGGCAGCACCTGTGAACGCCAGAACGGAGGAGGGCGCGGAGAGCGCGGAAGAGGGCTGGGATAGCCGGAGGGCGAAGGATGCTGGTCGCTCGCCATCTACGAGCAAACACAACTGTTGGTGAGGAGGAGGAAGCTGGCGGTGGTGCACAGGAGGAGAGCAGAGGAGATGCGGCTGGAGGAGAGGAGAGAGGAGGAGGAGATCCGGCTGTAGGAGAGGAGAGTGGAGGATGAGATGCGGCTGGAGGAGAGGAGAGGAGAGAGGAGGAGGAGATGCGGCTGGAGGAGAAGAGGAGAGGAGAGGAGAGGAGAGGAGAAGAGGAGGAGGAGAGGAGAGGAGAGGAGAGGAGAGGAGAGGAGGTGGCTGGTGCGGCAGAAGCTCTCCCGCCACCCCCTCATCCCCCTCCCCCCCATGCGCTGGCGCTGGCGGAAGTGCTGGCGCTGGGCGCTGGCGTCGCGCTGGCGCTGGCGCCCGCGGTTGGCGCTGGCGCTGGCGCCCGCCGTCGGTGCTGGCGTCCGCGCTGGCGCTGGCGACCGCCGTTGGCGCTGGCGCTGGCGCCCGCCGTTGGCGCTGGCGCTGGCGCCTGCCGTCGGCGCTGGCGTCCGCGCTGGCGCTGGCGACCGCCGTTGGCGCTGGCGCTGGCGCCCGCCATTGGCGCTGGCGCTGGCGCCCGCCATTGGCGCTTGCCCTGGCGCCCGCCGTCGCCTCGCTGGCACGCTCGCCACTGGCAGAGCGCGACGGGGCAGGCGAAAGGGGGCAGCGCGACGGGTGCTGCAAAAGCAGCGGATTTCGAGCCAGCAGCGGATTTCGCGCTACTAGCAGTAGCAGCCATGCCAGCAGCACAATAAGTCGCCATGGCAGATCGCGGGTTTGGTGGGCCCATGAAAACGAGGTCCTAGGAGGGACCACTCTCTGATATCATGTCAGAAGACGCTCTTAACTCTTGACTTAGTAACTTAGGGTTTACCTAGGAAGCATGAGTGTCGAGAGTGAGCATGGTAAGAGAATTGGGCAAAGAGGGCATTCACTAAGGAATGTTTACAAGATATAGGATACGGGAGAGGATAGGGTACACCACCAGCAGTTGAACCTAATAACTAACTAATACACTAGCAAGCTGTAGGCAGTTAGGATATGCAATATAATTCAACATGTAGGACCGTATATTTTTTCGGGCCCACCATTACCTAGTGACCGACTGCGGTTACCGCGTTACCCCACGCCCTGCCCTGCGCTGCGCCGTCAGCGCGCGCCCTGCCCTGCCCTGCCTTGCGTCGCGCTGCCCCGTGCACGCCCTGCCCTGACCCGCGTCGCGCTGCCCCGCGCACGCCCTGCCCTGCCCCGCGTCGCGCCGCCCTGCGCACGCCCTGCCCTGCCCCGCGTCGCGCCGCCCCGCGCACGCCCTGCCCTGCCCCGCGTCGCGCTGCCCCGCGCACGCCCTGCCCTGCCCCGCGTCCTGCTGCAGCCCGAGCCCTGCTGCCCTGCGCGTCGCGCCCTGCTGCAGCCCGCGCGTCGCGCTCTACTGCTCCGCGCGTCGCGCCCTGCTGCAGCCCGCACGTCGCGCCCTGCTGCCCTGCGCGTCGCGCCCTACGACAGCCCACGCGTCGCGCTCTGCTGCCCCGCGCGTCGCGCTCTGCTGCAGCCCGCGCGTCGCGCCCTGCTGCCCCGCGCGTCGCGCCCTGCTGCAGCCCGCGCGTCGCGCCCTGCTGCCCCGCGCGTCGCGCCCTGCTGCAGCCCGCGCGTCGCGCCCTGCTGCAGCCCGCGCGTCGCGCCCTGCTGCAGCCCGCGCGTCGCGCCCTGCTGCCGTGCAGAGCGCGCGCCCTGCTGCCCGCGGCCGAGCCGCGCCGCCCAGCCCGAGCCGCCCTTCCCAACCCGATCCGCCCTGCTGCTCGTGCTACTGCTGCAGCTGGTGGAGGTGCTGCTAGGAGTGTTGGAGGTGCTGCAGCCTAGCCTCACCGAGCTGCTCTGCTGCTCTTACTGCTGCTGGTGCTACTCGTGCTACTGCCCCTACTATTCGCGCGCCTCCTTGCTTGCCCGCTATGAATTCACTTCATAGAAGCGTTGGGAGTGGTGACGGCGGTGGTGGCGGCAGTGAGAGTGGTGGCGGCAGTGGGATTGGTGGCGGCCGTAGTAGCAGTCGCTATGGAGCTGTTCGGTGGGGAGTTTTTGGCGGTGGCCAGATGCAGCTTCAGTGGCGTCCGCGCGAGGCCCTTACGCCCCAGCAGCTTCGTGAGTGGTACGCTAGTAGGTGTGCTGGCGGCGGCCGTAGTAGCGGTCGCGGTGGAGCTGTTCAGTGCGGAGTTTCTGGCGGTGGCCAGATCCAGCTACAGCGGCGTCCGCGCAAGACCCTTACGCCCCAGCAGCTTCGTGAGTGGTACGCTCAGAGTGGGGGGACTTGGAGTACTGTCCGCTGCCCGTACGTCATTCGCACAGGTGATCGGGCTGGTCAGACTTGCGGGACAGTTGGTCACACTAAGGCTTGCTGCTTCGCCTGTCTGAGCGACGCCTGGCGTGCCGTGTTTGGCGACGAGGCTGAGCTCCCCCGCTGGCTAGAGCTGCTTCGGAACAAGGTAGATATCTTTGCTCTAGACTATGGCACTATCCTCACTGCCATGTATGCTTTGACTATTAGTACTCAGGGTGACTGTTACCTGTGTGTGCCGCCCGACCCTGGTATAGCGGCTGCTGCTTTAGGTGCTGGTGAGTCTTCTCTTGGTGCTGGTGAGTCTGCTCTAGGTGCTGGTGAGTCTGCTCTCTCTGGTACTGCGCCTGCTGAGGCCTTGCACACCTTCACGCTTGACTCAGGTGCTTCCCGCTGCTTTTTTCGCGACAGCACCACAGTCACACTTCTCGCAGCACCGGTTGCAGTCTCTCTGGCTGACCCCTCTGGGGGACCGGTTCGTGCACGTTCCTCCACTGTTCTCCCGTGTCCAGCGGTTCCGTCTGGTTCACTGTCAGGTCTTCACCTCCCCTCGTTCTCTACGAACTTGGTGAGTAACGCCGTCCTTCAGGATGCTTGGGTTGATACATTTATTCCTGGAGGACAGCGTGTGGCGATCTGCACATGTGCACGGACGGGCCGTCACCTGGCCACGTTCACCCGTCGGCCTGGGTCGAGCCTGTACACACTGACTACTGAGCCTCCTCAGGTAGCTGCGTCTGCGTCCGCGTCAGGTCAGCTAGCAGCCCCCTGTTCGTGTCGCCTCCTGTCGCACCAGACTCTCCTTTGGCACCACCGCCTAGGTCACCCCTCCCTGCCACGCCTCCGTGGCATGCACTCCCGCCTCCTTGTTTCTGGTCTTCCCAGGTCTCTGCCTCCCCTCCCACCCTCGCCTGCCCCTCCCTGCCTTCCCTGTATCGAGGGGCGGCAGCGCGCCGCTCCTCACTCCTCCTCGTTTCCCCCGACGACTGCTCCCCTGCAGACTCTCCACATGGACGTGTGGGGCCCAGCCCGTGTCCAGGGACAGGGCCGCGAGCGATACTTTCTGCTGGTTGTTGACGACTACTCGCGTTACACCACGGTCTTCCCCTTACGCAGCAAGGGGGAGGCCCCTGATGTTTTGATCCCTTGGATCCGCGCTGTCCCTCTCCAGCTCCGCGAGTGGTTCCACACGGACCTTCTTGTCCTGCGTCTGCACTCTGACAGAGGTGGTGAGTTCTCCTCCAACCTCTTGCAAAACTTGTGTCGTGGGGAGGGCATCCTCCAGTCGTTCACACTTCCGGCCTCTCCGTAGCAGAATGGGGTTGCTGAGCGCCATGGAGGTCGCTCGTACCTTCATGATCCATGGGGCTGCTCCCCATTTTCTGTGGTCGTTTGCGGTCCGGTACGCTGCGCATCATCTCAACCTCTGGCCCCGTGTCTCCTTGCCAGAGACCTCGCCTACACTGCGTTGGACGGGAGAGGTTGGCGATGCGTCGGTGTTCCGGGTCTGGGGTTGCCGTGCCTTTGTCCGCGATACCTCCGCGGACAAGCTCTCCTCGCGCGCCGTTCCCTGCGTCTTCCTTGGGTTTCCCCGTGACGCGCATGGCTGGCAGTTTTACCATCCCACCTCGCGCCGTGTCCTACCCTCTCAGGACGTCACGTTCGACGAGTCGGTTCCCTTTTACCGTCTCTTCCCCTACCGCACTGCCCCTCTCCCCCCCCCGCCGCTCTTCCTCGCTCCAGGTCCCTCTCCGGTAGACCCCCTTCCCCCTCAGGGTCCTGCTCCTTCAGGTGTGTCTCAGGTAGACCCACTCCCCTTGGTTGAGCCTGTCGAGGTCACTGGTGACTCTGGTGCTGCTCGGGGTGCTACGTCTGGGGGTGCTGAGCCTGCGGTTGCGGAGCCTGAGCGTGCGGAGCCTGGAGGTGCCGAGCCTGAGCGTGCGGAGCCTGGGGGTGCTGCGTCTGAGCGTGCGGAGCTTGGGGGTGCTGAGCCTGAGCGTGCGGAGCCTGGGGGTGCTGAGTCTGGGGATGCTGAGCCTAGGGGTCCTGCGTCTACACTACGGGAGCCTCTCTCACCACAGCAGTTGCGCGAGTGGCACGCTCGGCGCTGTAGCCTTCGGAGTGGGGCTGCTGGAGCTGGAGGCCCTGGAGCTGCTAGTCCTGGAGGTGCTGGAGGTGCTACTAGTGCTTTGTATGTCCGTTTCTGTTTTTGAGGCGCCTCAAAAATCAAGAGCGTGTTTGGTAAACTAGTTTACGCTGTCACGCAGGAGTACCGTGCATAGTGCTTTGTACGGTATGTTCGTTCCTTTGTTTCACTAGCGGAAGGTGCCAGCATTGAATGAGCCAGCTTTCAAATACATACCAGGCCTAGCACATGCCAGCACAAAACCATCAATGATACAACAACACAGAACAAATCAACCGGCACAAAGCTACAGCCCCATGACTGCCACAACTGCCCTAGCAGTTCCACCCTGGGATCGCCGCGGATTGCCGTGGATCGCCGCGGATCGTCGCACTGCCCGGTCTATGCCAAAAGCTCCCCCCCCCTCCCCCCCCCCCCCCCCCCCCCTGGGGTCTTCCATGTTCGTGCTCGCTGTGGCGGAGAGCTTAAGGAGCTGTTACGGGCGATGAGGTTGTCGTCTTGCTAGTAGACACGAGGTGCACCGCGGTCTCCGGGGCTTCCATATTCGCGGGCGCGGATAAGGCTGTCGTCCTAAAGTGTTCCGCCGTCTGAGGCTTTGCCATTTTCACGGTGGTTGTCGTCTTGCTAGTCGACACAAGGCGCTCCGCCGTCTCTGCCGGTTCTTCCATTTTCACGGGCGTGGTGGTTGTCTTGGTCGTGGCTGCTGGCATTTTCACGGCGGTTGGGGCGGTCTCGCCGGATTTCTGGAGGTGGATTCCCCCACATAACAGACCTCCGCCTTGCAGAATGCGCCGCGCGGCGAGTAATCCCTTGGATGCTGCTGCGCAGAGAACAACGGAAGCCCAGAGGGGCGGCTTAGGTCAGCCCAGACTACTATTGTACCAGAACTAGTAGTAGTATCCAAATGCAGCATAGATAAAGCATCGTCACGGTATACACACTTCGCCCTCACGCAGATCCCGACTCAGATAAATTACTTCCGTTCGGAATGGGAATGCACCACGATAGTATAGACGCGCCGCGATCTTACCAGCCACTGGCTGGCAGCTTACCACCTACTCAAGTATAAACGAATCTGAACCGAATGCTCCAGATACGATTGCACCGGCCCGGAGCTTACCAGCCGCTGTATAGGATGTTGACGCCAAGAGCAGCACAAACAGAAGCACCGGCAGCACAGCCGTGGTCGCAACACCCTGCTTTGTCAGAGCCATGATAAAGCGAGAGGGAATAGCCGGTGAGCAAGAACGGGAGAGGCTGGCTGGGGGAGGAAGGTAAGCGTCTACTGATGAGAATGCGAGACGACGCGCGTGTTATATAGGACTCCTCATTACTAGGAGTGGGATCGTCGTGGGGTTGGGACTCCCACGACGTAGTTTGTCTTTGCAACGCTGTGCGTGGCGCTCACACGCTGTGCGTGACGCTCACACGCTGTGCGTTCAACGCGGGAATGTTGCGCATGTCTCGGCGTGGAAACCGTCGCCAGATGGGACTCTCCCAAGCCCAGCGGCTGCCCAAATCCAAGCTAGGCACGCGCGTGTTTCTATGGAACAGCGGGCGAGGTTTACGCTGTGTTTGGGAGTGGGAGGGGCCCTTGCGAGGTCGAAGGCACTCAGGGGGATTCAATCTGGCGGGATGACATTTTGTATTTTCGCGCCAGGTCGAATCAAATGCGGGAGTTGCTCGTTCCGCATGCTTCGCATCGCAGCGCAGGTTGGAGTGAAGCGACTTACCGCACAGCACCCCACTGTATGCAGCAATCAGTTCTCAACATTCGCGACGGATGGTTGCGGCGTGATGCCAGGCAAATCGCAAGTTCGAATGTGCCATTGTTGTTACAAGCATTGATAAGAGTTAGAAGTACACTGATCTGGTAAAAAAGGAACTATTTGTGTACACTATATTGGGTGGACCTGGACCACCAATCCAAGCGAGGGCCATTTGTGAGGCATGAAACACCTTTGTGTCCTAGTAAAGCCTCGGGTAAAACCCAAGGCAGTGAGGGGTGGTAATTCTGAACAAGAGTATAGCAAGCATGTCCCTGTACGGAAAGCTTGAGTTACTTTACTGCAGCTCTATCCATCACGCCACACAAGGATACACCTACACTGCCTGTTATAGCCATACTTTTGGGGGTTGCAGAAGCTGGCATTGTCAAATCAAGCATTTCAAACATTGCATTGCAGCAGTACACACAAAAGAATCAAAGCAACTGCCATCCTACCCAGCAGTAGTACGGTACACTCCTATCAGCATGGCAGAATAGCAGTCTCGTGTGTACATCACGTGCATCTTACGGTAACACGAGAACTAACGGCGACTATTGGAGGCAATGCAGTGCAGCCTCGTAAAATCTATAGGTGGTGGTAGGCAACTGGCAGAGTACGGCTCGCATTGCATCGCACCCCACCACATGGCATGGCATGGCGGGGTAGATGTACAAGTTTCTGGCATCGTTCTGGCCGAAAGGCACACCGCAACCGCACCGCACCGCACCACATCGCACCGCATCTCATGGCATGGCATGGCATGGCATGGCGGGCTAGATGTACACGTTTCTGACGTCGTTCTGGCCGAAGGGCACACCGCAGCCGGGGCACTTGCGGTGGCGCAGCTCTAGGTTCTTCTGGATGCATGGCGAGCAGAAGAGGTGGAAGCACTTTGTTATCACCACCTGTCAGTTGAGGGGGAAAGGAGGGGGAGAGGAGGGGAGCAGACACGGGAGCTATTGAGATTGAGCTTCCACAACTGCAGCGCCACACTCAAGGTTTTTTATCATCTCAGCCATTTCCTAAACAGAAGTGGAAGCACTTGGTTATCGGGGAAGGGGGTCGGAAAGGAGGGAAGCAGGAACAAGAACTGCTTAGATTGGGGCTTGCACAGCTGCAACTCTTCCGGTTCCAAAAATCCTACCATTTTGGCCAGATCTTGGAGATCACCACACTGCACATTTTCGTTTTCTTTGTGGGCAAATGTGCTGCCCACACTTTATTTTCCTTGTGGGCCCAAAGAAAGCCAGATGTCAAAGAGTAACATTTTGTAGGCCTAACGTCTTTCTGTTGGTCGAGCCACGCCAACTGCACTTGTACTTGGGGCGCCTCACACACAGACTCACCTCTTTCTGTCTGTCGTGGCACACGGAGCACTTCATGATCGACTTGTATTGCCGCAGCTCCTCCTGCAACTGCTCCACCGATGGGCCCCCTGACCCCCCTCCCCGCTCCATCGACTGCCCCAGCCTCGCCAGCCGTGCCGACAAAGAGTCCCTCTCCTCCTCCACTCGCCTCCGCTTGTTCCTGTGGGGTACACAAGTAGGGATGATAGAGTGAGCGAACCAGAGAGGCTCTCATGTGTCTGCTCACCTGGCAATCAGAACAGAACCCCCTGAACCCCTTGCCCCTGCTCCTCTCTCCATCACTGGCCTAGTGTTGATCGGCGGGCAGACAGGCGAGCTCTGCCCGTTCCCCCTCGACTCGCCTGCACTTGCTTCTGCTCGTGAATGGGAAGGACCCCCGCATGCTTACAGGTGATCACTGTAAGCCCTCCTCTTTGGCTATATCACACACACACAAACGCATCACACACTCAAACTTTCTACAGTCCCTTCACCGCCCGTGTGTTCCGCAGAACAGGGACCTTGCAAGCTCTCCCCTCTATCTCTTCCCCTCACAGACACAAACCCTCTTACACCCTCTTCTCCCCCCCCCCCCCCCCCCTCAACCCCCCTTAACACACAAACGCACGCACCTTTCACTCTCCAGTTTCTCTTCCACCTCCAACATCTGTGTGTTCCGCGCAACCAAGTCCTTCTGAAGCCCCTCCATCGCCTCCCTGGCAGCTGCCGTCTCCCGCTCTAGTCCGCCTGCTTCCGTGTCACTGTGGAGATTCATCCCTCTCTCACAGACACACATCCCCCCCATGCCATGACCCCCCCCCCTCAACAAACACATACACGCTTATGGTTTGTTACCCACCTTTCACTCTCCAGCTTTTCTTCCACCTCCACCATCTTCCTCGCAGCAGGTCCTTCTGAAGCCCCTCCATTGCCTCCCCCCGCTCTCCCTGAAGGTATTTCATCCTCTCACAAACAAGCACCACCCCCTGGTTCCCAAACAAACACACGCCAACCCACCTTTCAGTCTCCAGTTTCTCTTCCACCTCCGCCATCTGTGTGTTCCGCGCAGCCAGGTCCTTCTGAAGCCCCTCCTCTTGCTCTTTCCCATCCCCGCTCACCCCCCGTGCCCCCACTCACACAAACCCACGCACCTTTCACTCTCCAGTTTCTCCTCCACCTCCACCATCTGTGTGTTCCGCGCAGTCAGATCCTTCTGAAGCCCCTCCATCGCCTCTCTAGCAGCCGCCGTCTCCCGCTCCATGTCCGCCTGCTTCCTCTTGCCCGCCTCCACACTGCCCGCCATGCCCCTCGCATCCTCCACCGCCTTCCCCAGCTGCTCCCACGCCGCCTTCACCTGGGGTCGGGGGTGGCGGGAGGGGGGGAACGGGGAAAGCAAAAGGAGGGGGGCGAGTGGAAGGGAGAGGGGAGAGGATGTGTAAGGGAGAGGGGAAGGAGGGCAGGAAGGGGAGATGGAAGTGGGTTAGTGGGTGCTGTCTCCCGCCTGCATCCTCTTGCCTGCCTCCACACTCCCCGCCATGCCCCTCGCATCCTTCACCGCCTTGTGCCCTCCACGCCTTCCCCAGTGGGAGAAGGGTGGAAGAGGTGCAAATTCCTCCAAATCTACACTACACACCTGCACACCCCTCCACATTCCCCTGCACATTGGCAAACCCTTCCACACCTGCTCTTCCAACCGTGCCACCAGCTGCTTGTGCACGTCAGCGGCAGCTGTAGCATGCTGCATGCGCGTCTCCATGCTCTGCTTCTCCGCCTGCACCTGACAGGCCTACCCACACCCCTCCGCATTCCCCTGCACATCTGCATACCTGCTCTTCCAACCGCACCACCCGCTGCTTGTGCACGTCCGCGGCAGCAGTAGCGTGCTGCATGCGCGTCTCCATGCTCTGCTTCTCCGCCTGCAGCGACGCCTGCAGCTGCCGGGCCTTGACGCCCTCCGCTATGAGCTGCGTGTTGTACTCGTCCCTCTCCGATATCTGCTGCAGCAGCCGCCGGTTCTGCGACTGCATCTCCTCGTAGGCCGCTCCTATGGTCTGCGGGCAGGCAGGGAGAAGCAGGGAGGGAGGGAACGAGACGAGATTGATGCCTTGAGCCCACCCGTTCTGCGACTGCATCTCCTCGTAGGCTGCCCCTATGGTCCGTGGTGCGGCGGGAGAGCGGGGAGGGGAGGGAAGGAGAGGAAGGGAGGGGAGGGGAAGTGGAAGGAAGAGACTTTGCAAGGCCTTGACCCCACCAGTTCTGAGACTGCTGCATCTGCCAGTACGGAGCGGCAGGTAGAGTCTGAGGGGCGTGGTTATGCCGCCTGCAGCTGCCGGGCCTTGACGCCCTCCGCTATGAGCTGCGTGTTGTACTCGTCCCTCTCTGATATCTGCTGCAGCAGCCGCCGGTTCTGCGACTGCATCTCCTCGTAAGCCGCTCCTATTGTCTGGGGAGAAGGGAGGCAGGGAAGGAGGGAGGGAGGCAGGGAGAGGGAGCGAGGGAGGGAGGGAACGAAGGAGAGGCGAGATTGACGCCTTAAGCCCCCCGGTTCTGCGACTGCATCTCCTCGTAGGCCGCTCCTATGGTCTGCGGGCATGCGGGGACGAAGGGAGCGAGCGAGGGAGGGAGAGGCAGGGAGAGGAAGAGGAAAAGAGGAAGGATATGAAGGACTTGAACCCACCGGTTCTACAACAGCATATGCTGGTAGAGTGCGGCAGCTATGGCATGGCAGCAACATGACTGTGACACCAATCTGCCAGCCAAAGGAGGCAACATGACCGTGCAAATCCGCGTAGTAACTACAGGTGATGGCAACACAGGATGGTGACTCTGGGAGCAGGCTAGCCTGTCGGTGCCTTCACCTTGCAAGATTGTGCACACTCCAAGAGAATTTCTGTGCGCGAACAGAAGGAATACGAACCTCTATCTCGGTTATGTACGCTTCTCCCTCCTCCTCCTTCGCCTTCACTGTTTCTTGCAGCTCCACTATTCTCCTGCGGCACAGGTGACACGCAGTAGCGACAGATGGGCGGAGGCAGATAACACGGGGCAGGGGGGGATAGGCGGAGGTCAGGGACCAAGAGCGGGATCACGAAACCAAGAGATACCACAGGCACTCTGCACAGCTGAAGACTAAACATCGGCAGCTACTGCAGGACAAAAAGCAGCAGATAGGATCACATGCACACACCCACACTCTCTGCCTCGCCCCTCATGCTGCCGCAGCTGAATAGTCTCCGCCCCTGCTGCCACCAGCCACTGCTGGCACACTGCTGCTCACAGCAGATGTGCTCAAGCTACTGTCCCGCTGCTAGGTGCTACACCAATGATGTTACCCATGGGCCCAAGACCACACGAAGACCACTCACTTCTCCGTCTCGTCCAGCTGTTGCCGCAGCTGGCTGATCTCCGCCTCTGCTGCCACCAGCCGCTGCTGGCAAGCGGCCTCCGCCTCGTTCGCGGCCTTCACTCTCAATGCCAGCCCGTGCTCGTCCAGCTCCGCGCGCAGCTGCTGCACTTGCGCCAACGCGCGCACCTCCGCTGATTTCACTTCCTTCATGTCTCTGTAGGGGGGAGGGGGGGGGGAGGGGGGGGGGGGACGGGGGAGGGGAGTTGAAGAATGACCACAGCGCCAGCCCGTGCTCGTCCACTCCGCGCGCAGCTGCGCCACCTGCGCCAACGCTCGCACCTCCGTTGCTTTAACCTCCTTCATGTCCCTGGGGGGGGGGGAAGGGGGGAGGAGGATGGGGAGGTGAGCGAGGTTGGGGCGGAGGAACAGAAGCAGGAAGGCTGTATTGCTGATCGCAGCTGCGCCACCTGTGCCAACGCGCGCACCTCCGCTGCCTTCACCTCCTTCATGTCCCTGTGTGGGGGGGGGGGGCGGGGAGAGGGGAAGGGAAGGGGAAGCGACTCAGGAGTGACCATACAAAGAGCGTGAGCAGACAGCTCCGCGCGCAGCTGCGCTACCTGCGCCAGCGCGCGCACCTCTGCTGCTTTCACTTCCTTCATGTCTCTGTAGGGGGGGGGAAGGGGGGAGGGAGGGTAGAAGTGGAGGGGAGGAAGGGGAGGAGGGGAAGGGGAGGGGGGTTCGAGGATGTAGAGAAGGGGGAACGGCGAGGATGGACAGGAACAGATGAATTTGCCTGGTGTCGGTGGACTCGCGCTCAAACATATCCATGAACATCTGCAGCTCGCACTCCGAGGTCGTCAAGTGCGTCTTTGAGGTGCGTCAAATGTTTGAATAGGTAGAAATGGACTTGCCTGGTATCAGTGGATTCCCGTTCGAACATGTCCATGAACATCTGTAGCTCGCACTCGGAGCTCTTCAATTGCACCACCTGCAGCAACACACACCGTCACATGGCAACCGCAAAAGGTGTCAAACCAATGCAGGCCGGCAGATGCAGCCGATGCAGCAAAGATGGGGAAGGGGTTGAAGGAAGGAGGTATGGAAGAGGGACTGGGAGGAGGTATGGAAGAGGGACTGGGAGGAGGTATGGAAGAGGGACTGGGAGGAGGTATGGAAGAGACTGTTGCACCCTACTAATTATGACAATTCAGGAGCATGCAGACGGACAGCATCACGCAAAGCACAAATATAATTTCCGTGAACATACCTCTGCCTTCAACGCCTTCTGCTCTGACGCTTGCGACAAAATTCGTTTTCCTAGTTGCTCTATCTCTTTCGCCTGCAGGAAAATATGAAAACACGAAGGATGGCCAAAGGGAAATGTTAAGCGGCCCAGCACCGGCAGCAGTACGAAACAGCGTAGCAGACAAAAACGGCCGCCCTTGACGAGCTGCTGCGCGGCGACTTTATGCTTGGTGAGCTGAGCTTGCATCATGCTCAACTCTTTGTGCAGCTGGTGCATGGGGAGGGCAGCTCAACTCACCTTTCTACTGAGAATGGACTTGAGGGACTCGTTGTCGGCGCGGAGAGTGATGAGCTGCTGCGATGCGTCTTTATGCTTGGTGAGCTGCGCCTGCATCATGCTCATCTCCTTGTGCAGCGTTGCTATCATCACCTTGAGCTCCGCTACCGTCTCCTTCCTCCCTGCCACCCTCAACACACCATACACACAGGACCATGCACCACACACCCACCACACACCACACACCCACCACACACCACACACCACTCACCACACACACACACACACACACACACACACACACACACACCGACCACGCTTGTCACGGTCAGATTCATGCAGGCCAGGACTACCTGAATCCCAAGCAAAATTAACCCCAAGTACAGCAAATCGAACCGTACCCACGAACAAATCACCACCGCAATGCACTACCCCGCCACACGTACCCAGCGACGAATGCGCCTCCTCAGAGCGCCGCTGCAGCACGTCTCGCTCCCTGCACGCGTGCTGAGCGAATTTTGCACACTCCAAACTCTCAAATTCGCTCACAAGCCACACAGCGTACCAAGCGACGAGTGGGCCTCTTCCAATTGCTGCTGCAGCACGTCGCGCTCCCTGCACGCGTGCTCCAGCTTCTTCTCTAGCTCCTCCACGCTCGCCTCATCATTTCATCACTATCGCTCACAAGCCACACAGTGTAGCGTACCCAATGATGAGTGCGCCTCTTCCAAGCGCTGCTGCAGCACGTCGCGCTCCCTGCACGCGTGCTCCAGCTTCTTCTCTAGCTCCTCCACCCTCGCCTCCGCCAGCTGGCACGCCCTCCGCGCAGCATCGCCCGCCTCCGCGCGGAACGCCATGTCCTTCTCGCGCAGGCTGCTCGCATCCCGCTCCCTCTGCGGCCACCCCCATGAGCCCCACGGAAAGAAGCAGAGGGAAGTTTCGTGTCAGCACTCGTCGGAGGTACAGTACGGAAAAATGAAAACCACGCTAGCGGGAGGGGAGAGAACTAATGACTTGTCAAGAAGGCATGAGCGTATTTGGGGACAGAAACGTAGGCAGTGGAGGGTGGTAAGCGTAGGTGGCGGCAAGTAGAGTACTTACTTGCAGCTGCTCTAGAATCAACCGGTTCCTCTCAGCTTCTGCTCTGGCTGCGATGAGCTGCTCCGCCAGAATCGAGTAGGGCCGTGACGACTTGATGCGCTGCTCGTCCTCTGACGCTGACTGCATGGGTGCAGGAAGGATATGCGCTTCATAATGCCTCATTGCCATTGACAAGAATAAGAGTTTTCGGACGTCTCAAAACACTGACTGTACAGATGCAGGGAAGATATGCCTCATCTACAAGGAGAAGGAGAAGCGGATACGCTTGGGTGGAGAGTGAAGAAGGCTAGAAGGGACAACGCAAGAGGAGAAGTTCATGAGGTTACAAAAGGGAGGCCGAAAGACAGTTATAAGGCTGAAATGAGACATGCTTTGGGGGCTGAATGTGACTATATCTGCAAACCCTAATCTTGGCATTCCCGTGATATTAGTGCAAGGGAACACAAACCTGATACTCTCGTAGCTTCTGATTCAGTTCCAGTATCGTCTGTTGCTTGTCCTCAATCTCGGTCAAGCGTTGAGCGGAAAGCTTCTGCAAAACGGAAAATATGCAGAATCGCATATTAACACAAGAAACTCCATCACAAAAGCCCTCGTCTCGTGTGACGGATAATGCAATCATAGAAATCAGAAAAGACGACGCATTTCTCACCTTCGCTTCCTCAAGTGCGGCTCCCAGCTCACGGGCCTCCCCAGACGCAATCCTACTCTCCTGCCCCCCGTCTCTCGAATCCGACTTCACAAGCGACGGGGACGCGGGAAACGCGCCGGGCCCAGACGACGAAGCTGACTGCTTCGCCGCGACGAGTTTCCGCCTCGTCGATTCCAGCTGCATGAGGGTATCCTCCAGATGATCTGTGACGGAAATGCCAGATGCGGGTTACAATGGGGTAACGGAATGCTTTAGGGAGATGACGGAGTACGCTAAGGGAGATGACGGAATACGCTTTATAAAGGCAGAATTCGCCTCGTTGATTTCAGATGCATGAAGGAATTCTTGAGATGATATGTGATGGAAACGCCAGATGCGGGTTCCCAATGAGATGACGGAATCCGCTAAGGGAGATGACGAAATGCGATTAAAAATGGCAGAATTCGCCTCGTTAATTTCAGATGCATGAGGGAATCCTGGAGATGACCTGTGACGGAAACGCCAGATGCGGGTCCCATGGAAACGACGGAATGCGCTAGGGGAGTTGACGGAATGCGCTAGGGAGGATGACGGAATGCGCTAGGAAATCGCAGAGTTCGCGCGTCTGACGCCAATGCAGCTACCCCAATCCGACCCCAGTAAATGTTAAGACCTTCCCTAAAAGCCTTGTAGACGAAGCTTACCTAGTAACTAGTCCTACCCTTGGCAGAGCTTACCGAGTAATCAGTCCTACCCTGGACGAAGCTTACCTAGTGGAATTTCTCACCTGAAACTCTCCGGACTTCAGCCTGGCTCTTGGCGTTCAAGTCCCGAATTTCCGAGAGCTCCAGCGACAGGCTTCTGTGCTGCAGATGCATCTCGTCCATCTTGGCTCGCATGTGCGACACTTCGGATCTGAACTCCTCATGCGTCGATCTTAGGAGCTCTGCAGCTTCTGCCTCGAGTAAAACGGGGGGTAGAGGATGAAAAATGTTGCGAAGAAAATCCGTCAAAGCCCGCATCTTGAACGGAAGAGGGAAGGATATATAGCTGAATAATCTAAGAAAGTACGTACCGTCTGAACTTAGACTTTTTTTCAACGAAACTGCCAATTCCTCGTTTCGTAGTCTTTGTTGATCGACGGCTTGCACTATGCACTTGAGAACCTTATACGTTTGCGAGCTCCGAGCTTGTAACGCGGAATGAAGCTTCTTCCTCGCATTGCCTTCATCCTCGACCTTCGGACTCGCTTGTAACAGCTTCCGAAGAAAAATGCTTTCTGAAGGACCATCTGAATCCCCTCTATCTGACAAAACAGGAAAAAAACCGGCAACCAGAATTAGGGTAAAAATTAGGAAGCATAGATCTGAAGGTAAATCACACAAAACTCAATATATTCGGCGAGTTACCTTCAAGGGGAGTGGCGTTAGACATTTGCTGAAGACCGTTAAGCCCAGCATTCGCCTTAACTGCCAGAATCTCCAGATCGTCAACTAGCTGTTAAAAAGGGAACAGAAAGACGTCAGAAATCCACCTTGCTACCTCAAGATCTATTGTACGGCGTCCAAACGCTCCCACTCAAGACGAGGACTTGCAAAGCCGAACCTGGTTCCACGCGCTGTTGACTGTCATGAGTGTGTCGTCGTAGTCTGACTGCCGTGCCTTGAGATCCTCGAACCGCGACTCCAATTCATGGATTCGCTCTTTCTGGACCTCCAGCTGCTGACTCAGCTTCTGGTTCTGAAACTGAAGCACTGACGGGTCGATCTGGCCATGGGAGACGGAAAGAGTGACTAAGAAGACTGATTCCGACTAGTAACAGAATGTAGGTAAAGTTGGGGAAATATATGAAACTTGAAAACCTGGTGAAGCCACACCTTCTTCTCGTCACCGAGACACGACAGCGATGGTCTTTTAGCAGGAGGCGACATAATGCTTCCCGCTGCTGATGGCCGCTTCTTTCGCTCTGACTCGTCATTGCTTCCCATTTCCCCCTTCTTTCGGCAAGGGGCATTTCCTGCTGGGGACTTCAGCGCTGCCGGTTTCACGAAATCCAAGTCGACCAGATTATCACAGCTCCGCATGAGCTCTCGGTCACACCACTACGGCCTTACGCAGCTCCTAACCAAGAACCCGTAACAAGAACACCCCTACTCACAGTGGAAGCTGGAAACTAGAAACAAGAAAACAAGCAAAGGTCCTAGTGACAATGAGGAAGACTGTTGTGAAAGACGTAGGCACGAATGGTAAACCCTAGTTTTGTTCCGGCTGTGCGGGGAGGGGGAGGAGTGAGGGTAGGGGAGGATGGTTCACGGATCTGCCTGGGGCGAAACTTTCGCCTCAAGCGTGCAGGTTACCGTTCATCATTGAGAGGTGGCGACAGTTGGCGATATACACGACGAAAACTATATATCTGTTGCTGACAGAACTTGCTACCGTATTACCGTAGATTCTACTGAAATAATATTGCACTTGTCCCAAGAATTTATTAGACTCCCACCAGTTGAAAAAAAGAGAACAGCAGGAATATTATTTTTACAGAAGAACGGTACACCCAGTAGAAGTACGCTTTTAGAACTTCACTTGTTTGTTACCCGTTGCTGATCAAATCGCCAAGTATCTCACTGCTCTTTAGCAACACTCGCCAATCGCGAGCTCTTATCCTTCCGCACTTTATCCTCATCTTCTCCTGATCATCACAAGCCCTAAAAATCGGTAAGCCTTGTTGCAAAACCAATCAGCTATTCATCATGTGCCGATCATGCTTTACGCTTTACGAATTGTCACCTCTGCTGGTAACCTCTTTCCCTCGCTCTCCTCCTCCCCCTCTTCATCCTCCTCCTCCTCCTCCTCCTCTTCCTCATCCTCATCCTCCTCATCCTCCTCATCCTCCTCATCATCCGACCCATCCCCACCGCTCCCAACCGCATTGTACATCACCGGAGCGGGGTAATTTTTCCTCTCCGCCTTATCCTGCTTCGACACAAGGTGCCGAATCACCCGCTCATCCTGCAGCAGCACCATCTCTATCACGCTTTACGACTTGTCACCTCTGCTGGTAACCTCTTTCCCTCGCTCCCCTCCTCTCCCTCTTCCTCTTCCTCCTCATCCTCCTCTTCCTCATCCTCATCCTCCCAATCCTCTTCGTCGTCCTCCTCGTCCTCATCCTCCTCTTCCTCATCATCCGACTCATCCCCACCGCTCCCAACCGCATTGTACATCACCGGAGCGGGGTAATTTTTCCTCTCCGCTTTGTCCTGCTTCGACACAAGGTGCCGAATGACCCTCTCATCCTGCAGGAGCACCTTCTCAATCGCTGCGATCTTATCTGATGGCACCTCGATGTTCATGAGAATATACTGCGCCTGCCACGTCTTCTGAATGCGATATGCCAGCCGCCTCATGCCCCAGTCGTTCACCCTCCACACTGTGCCTCGAGCATCCTTCACCATCTCTGGACAAGGGGGAGGGGGAGAGGGGGAGGGAGAAGAGGGGAATAGAGTTGAAGCGGAATAGCACTTTTGCCCCTTTTGCGAATTCTCAAAAGGCACACGTGTCCCAGCGTTCTTCCCCATCTCGAGCGTTCTTTCACCATCTTTCGAACCCGTACAGGGGGCAGAGGGAGGGGAAAGTGGGACGGAGGGAGGTGACAGGGAAAGGTGAGTGTGCGGCTCTCTGTGTGATGATACGGCACAATCACCATCACATCACACACTGACAGGCGCACTGATTTTCACAACTGTAGGCACGCGGATAATGACACATGAAGTCACAGCCGGATAATCACACATGGAGTCACCGCCGTTATAATCACGCATAATATTGCAGCCGCTACAATCACATCCACCATCGCCCACTTGTGACCTTCTCAATAATGGCGGGAGTCTCGCCTGTGCGACCCTCATATGCACCAGGAGCACTATAAACGCACAGTCACATGCAAACCCCGTTACCTGTATGTATGACCCACCTGTGCCCCACTTGTGCATCCATCGCCCACCTGTGATCTTCTCAATGATGGCGGGAGTCTCGTCTGTGCGCCCCTCATGCACCAGGAAGATCAGCTCGTAGTGGCCTGGGGGGGGAAGGGAAGGGGGAGGGGAACGGGGAGGAGTGGGTGGGGGGAAGGGTGTTGGTGGTGGCGGTGGCGGCAGCGGCCGCGGTGGCGGTGGCGGTGGCGGTGGCGGTGGCATATGCTCTCCAACTTGCAGAAAGATATGGTCTGCTCTGCTGTGTCAGACCCGGTCTCAAAGGCAGTGGTCAGCGAGGTTCAGCATCTCACTCAGCTTGCGGACCGAGCAGCATGCATGCAAAGCAAAGCACATGGGTCTCAACTCAGAATCAACGGAATAAGCGCAAGGAGACACAGTCAATCTGGCAGTCTCCTACAGGGTCTATACAGGGTCTACAGGACTGTGAAGTGTAAAGTGTAGAGTGTAAACCTGCACTGCACCCCGTCGAAATGAAGGGACGCACACTGCTACAAACTACAAATGAAATGCCGAAGGACCAACAATTCACGCAAAGAGTTCGGTGAAAGTGCAGGTGGAGGTGTCGCAAGGACTGCCATGCTTACGTGGAGGTACGTCGAACGTGCTCTGAAGCTCGAGATCCAGAATGGTATCGAGTTGGTCTGTATCGCGGATGAAAAAGGAACACAGGGTGGGAGATACACTGTAAGATGGTGAATACACGACAGGAAACCTTTCCTCGTTGGAACTTGAGGAAAGGTTCTTGGGTTCATAAACGAGACACACAGGATAGGAAATGAGCGACGAGGTAAGTGCGTGCATTATGAGAGTCACTTTTGAGAAATACTTGGGGGTGCCTGAGGGGAAGTGTGACTGAATGCGCCATGCTCGTCCATAATCGGCACATTACACTACATTCCCCATACAGGAAAAGTGGTACCAAGTAACAACTATCCGCGCCTCTACAGCCGTCGTGAGCCTGCTGATATTGCGGATGAAATGTGCTGATAATCTGATACCAATCCAACCTCCCGCTACAACCATAAGCCGACTCCAGCAGCACTACACCTCACGAGCACCTTCCCTGCTACAACCAGGAGCTGAAATTGCTTATAAAACGTCTCAAAACAAGCTCCTTTCCCGCTACAACCTCTCCGCTACAACCATGACCAGGAATTTGGAAAAGGTGCAGGTACAGCCCCCTGCTACAACCATCCGCTACATCTCACGCGCACCTGGACCCTTTCTGCTTCTCAGGCCCCTCACAGCAGGGAGCAGCGAGTTTAGGACAGGAGAGAAGCGGAAAGACAACACTCTTATCCCTCTATACGTCTCCCACTCCCCTTTTCACCTTCTCTCCTTTTCACCTTCCTTCTCTCCTTCTAATATTCTCTCATTTTCCCCTACTGAAGAGGAATCTCCCGTTTCCTTGAAACTCCGCCTTCCGCGATTTCCTTTCCCTTTAGAACCCCGTTTCGATGCTCCAGAGCACGGCACTTGAGAAGATAAGTGTTTTTGCGTAAGTATTGCTTCTCTCACCAGTCTCCTCGGGCGTTTGTTGGTACGTCTGCTGCCGCGCTTTCAGCGACGCCCTTTTCATCGATAAAGCCGGCACTGGCGCCTCATCTCCGCTATTCGCGGCGTCATCCCCGGCAGCCCTCGCAGAAACCGCGCGACAAAACCGTCGTCGAGACTGCGTCGCAGGCGTCGCGGGCGTCGCAGGGCAAGCGGCGACTGACAGTAGCGCGCTGCGAGGACGGAGGGAACCGAGGCTACAGGAGCAGGTGGCATGCGCTAAAGGGTGACGCGTTGTATAGGAGACGCTTGTAGCGAGTACGGCGTGCTCCAAGGCACGAACGGCAGTCATGATCGCAATGCACGCTAGAAACGACAAGCGCCGTCCGATCGGCGGTTAAACAGAAGCAAAACGAGGAGGTACGCGTAACGAACACGAATCAACGTGACAAGGTAACCGGTTCGAAGTGCGTACCTTCCGCTAATCTCGCGAGGATACAAACGGCGGAGCGAGCATATACATTGCAACGGAGGGGACAGGGCTGAAGGGTTTGAGGGTGAATCGCCTCGGCACGCGCTGTTTCGTTACAATGTAGATGCCTGAAACGGTGCAGTTTGAGACCCTTTTTTGGATTTTTGGTGGACAGTCATTGTTAATCCAACACTATAGTTGACCTACCGTAGGGCCCGTTGATAAAAAAGTTGGAAATTAGAAACACACATTTCAGATTCCAAATGATTTATGATCTCTATATCGGTATGTTGGAAACTCAACTTCTTCGGCCAGTTGATAAAAAAGTTGGAAATTAGAAACATACATTTCAGATTTCAAATGATATATGATCTCTATATCGGTATGTTGCCTTTATAAAAAACATTTCAATATGCGTACGTATGAAGGTGAAAAAAGAACATATTTGCGCGGTGCATCGAGTTCGCCAACGACGAAACACCGTCCTCCTGCTCATGGCGGCGAACCGCCCTGTTTGCCGCGCAAACCTGTCTCCTTTTCGGCCGCCATGGTTCCCTTTCGTACGTCCATCCGCAGGTCAGAAAAGCGCTTTCAGAACGTGTGGCTGGACGCGCTTTCTTGAACCTTGCTGGGACGCTGCCGTTGTGCCTCATCCTCTTTTCCACGGGCGATATATGGAGAGTTATTCTTGCTGCATTCTTCAACAGCGTCTCTGGACACGATTAGAGTTACTTTATTTGGTGTCTGCGAACAGCAATCGCATTTATGAGTTTTCGCAACCGTTTTTAGCAGCTTCTCAACGTCCGAGTCCGAATCATCCATCACCTTCTTGACCGGCTAGATTGACTCGACTCCATCGTCACTCCATGGTTCGGTTAGGTCTATTAGAGTAGGCATTCGACGCTCACCATTGTTTCTACCAGACGCAATTCAAAGTGAATCTTTCAAGACCGAACAGCGCCAGTACAGCTGATCTGCATGAGATTGCGAATCAGTGAGTCACACTTGAACTCGAGTTATTCATATTTTTTAAATAATAATTCATCTTGTACCACTTGATTTATTCTCCATCACACGGTTCCCTGTACCGTGGCAGGTCGGGTATGGAAGCAGATCCTGCGCAAGCTGGGTCGCTGGAAGCGGCACGCCAAGAGCATGACGAGCAGCTGCCGAGCCCCCAAGGTCACCGACGGCTTCTCGGACTTGGTCGTCAACGGCGTTGCCAACCTTCCGCCGTCTAAGGCTCGCAGCGCGGACAACCTCGGCTGGCATCTCTCCAGGTCAGGAAGAGCCTCTCGCGTTTCAGATTTCGACGTCAGCTAGAAAGGCGGGATCGCAAGGCGATAATAATGTGTTTAATTTACCTACGATGTGGTAATGTTTCGCGATTAACGCAGATCCGGGACAGCTGATGGTCGGACGCTACGCGCGATGGCATGTCAGCCGGAAAAGGGCGGACGGCTTCACATCGAAGGCGACGGCGAGGGGGAAATGGACGAGGAGTGGATGCAGGAGATGCTTCGTCGAGCCGGCGATCAATCGACGAATCAGGTAACTTCGCTGACTGCCTGGTCAAAATTTCGTCCGTCTCTTTGTCGTCCTTTTTCTCGTTCTCACCATGTATTCTGAGGCTTCGAGATTGACGAGGTTCAATACTAATGCTGCCGGTTTGCTATCTCAGGTGCGTTGGAAAGACGGCGGGACGATTCAGCGTTACGGAAGTGCGATCGACATGCGTCAGCTGCTAGATGGTGACAGTAACGTAACCTACTCAGCGAAACAGAGGACTGGAACCGTGGTGCCCTTGGGAAATTACAACAGCACGCCATGGCAGAGAGACACCCCTGCTCGGCAACACCAAGGCTCAACAACCGCCCTTGCCTCCAAGCAAAGATGTGGAACCACAGATGGAGGCTCGGGTGTGGGAGGGAACAATACAGGGAGGCTCGGGTATCATAGACCTTGTCGTTCTGGCTCAGTGCCAGCAGCCATGGATGTGATGAGTGTTCCGCTTAGGCCACCGCCAGGGAGAAGAAGACCCACAGCTCCGAGGTGACCCCCATCCACTTTTTAGGCTACCTTCCAGTATCTCTAACACATGCTACCAAAGCTAATAGAGGTTTCAATCTCCGCCGTGTATAGATACGTTTATATCATTTATTGTGAGTACGTTTCATATTCGATATGAGTCACATACACACTTTCAAAAGAGCTCAGCACCATCCAAAACGTGTACAGCACGTCTGCTTGTTCTCGTTTGCGCAAGTGCTCTGATGATATTCGGGAAAGTACATCCCAGCTCCTTACTTTCAGAATTCTCTCATATTTAGCCCCAGGTTTTCTCAAAAAGTATGAATTTCAGGGATTTCACTCACGCGAGGCCCAAAGTATGTTCAAAACTGGTCCTGCGGGGCAAACTTTTCGACACGTGTCCATTTTCGCGTCGGTTTTTTTTCGACGGGGTAAAAAACATAAAACTCTTAGGGAACCAGGACACATTTTCGGGAGGGATCAACCCTAAACACAGGCGCGATGCGCTCTGTCGTTCAAGGTTCCTCTTCAAGGTCCCCTCCACCACCTCGCACAGTCTTACTGTACTAAGCTTCCCTCCTTAGTCTCTTGTTGGCGGGAAATGGGTCCATAATCTCCTCCGCCAATCGCCGTAATTCAAACACGAACATATCGGAACAATCATGACCTCATGACCTACAGGCTCCAGCACAACAGAGGCACGCGGCGAATGGCATCTTGCCTTGACTGTTCTAGATCAGGTCGTCCAGTCACAGTGCTTTCCTCGCGTCTGACAGCTGGCTTGCCATGCCAGCTGGCTCCACGTCTCGAGATAGTCGAGCCTCGACCCGCCAGGAGCGCGTGCAGCTATAGTGCAGCCATCGTGTATGCCGACCGCGGCCGCAACGACTGCACCGCTGATATCTGTCTGTCATCATGCACTAACCTCCTAGAACCAATGGCCTGTTCGGCCGGTCGCACGCGGCGCCTCAGGCTTTAGTCCAGAGTCCAGAGCTCTAATGTCAAACATAGCGAAGTCAAAGGTGTAGTGTAATTCACACGCTAGTCTTTCTCGTGTTCGGCGACCAGGTTCGAACACCAGCCTCGCCCGTCCACATGTAAAAGGCGGTCTCACAGTTGACATTCAAATCAACAAAAAACTCGATTAGGCGTTTGCGCGATCTGACACTCTTGTAACTCTTTCAACCTGCGGTTGTGCCTTCTCTGTTGCAATTCATGGAATCCTTGCTCGTACGCTTGCCGAGAGACCTTCCAACGGCCCCTTCCGCTGCTGCTGCTGCTGCATCCCCTCTATTTTTTCCAATGGACCAAGAAACTGCGTTGACTCTCCGCAAATCGCCGCGGCGCAACACCGTAACGGCCGTGCCGCAGTTCGAGGTTCTCCCCTGCCAGACGGACGAGGTTCTTCGCGGCGACGCCGGTGCCTCACAGTCAGAATCGGCGGAATCAAATCATTCCGTCGGCGACGCATCATCCCATCATGCGCCCTCGGAGGATGTGGCGGTCAGCAATCGTTTTTCAAACATCGACATTCGCCTGGAAATGTGGAACCTCGCTACTGGAAGCTCCGCTAGTACCACGAAGCACCAGCGGAGCTCTCCTCGCGGCGCGCGCCCCTCGCGCTCGCGGAGCTCTCCGACGATCGCGACGCCTGAGGCGGCTTTGTCTCTCGCACCCGCCGAGATCACGAATATTTCGCCTGTCGACGGATATTCCCGCGCTGAAACGTCTGTTGATGCTCGCTATCACGCCCGACCGGCGCAGCTTGAAGTGGCCGGGAGATTGGAGACGCAGGAGATGCGGGAGTCGCGGGAGTCGCGAGGGAGCGATCCTGAGAGAGCTGCGGGATTAGAAGTAGCTGCAAGCCGGAGAAGCCTGACGCGCTGGCAGAGCGTTCCTTCGTTGGTAACCCTAAATTCTCCCGTGCCACGACATGCGGCGCCGCGCTGGCCGGTACTATCGGACGCATCCCAGCATGGGACCGTCAGCGAGTCAGTCTCCCCCTTGGCCGTCCCCTCGCACGGACGACGATTTCAAACTTCGCATGGAGTCGCGGATCCAGTTCGTGTTGGAACGCCCCCAACATCCCGGCCAGTGTCGGCTGTGGTTCGCGGCGCGAAACTATCTAGAGCTGCTTCGTCTGAGCCTACGAGTAACGTGTTCGTGTGGGCCGCTCAGCAGCGCATCGCGCGTCACAGATCCGCCCTGCAGTAACTGTATTATAATCGTGGCAAATGGTGCGATTTAGGAGGCAAGAACTGCGGAGCTCGTGGTTTAGGCCAACACTCTAAATTAGCTTACATATTATGTAATATAACACCCTTTCTTTATGATTTACTTTGTTCTTCTATCATGCTTCTTTACATTTCAACAAGCATACAGACATGCATAAACCCTTCCTAGAAGTGTCTTACTACCTCAAACATCAAAAGACCATCGCCAAAACCCGAAACAAAGTATTGCTTCCTAAGACATCTACAGCCGCATGTCGACCAAGTAGGGCACGTCCACCCATGGTGCTCCCTCTCCAAACTCCTGCTCCCCACCCCCTCGCTCCACCCACTCCGCCTCGGACTGACCCAACGTGTATGCCGCCCGCAAAAGAATCACCCGAGCCTGTGCCTTCTGCAAAGCTACCCCTACCGCGGCTGTCAAGGACCCCACCAAGTATTCCGAGAAACCCGAGCTGTTGCCCCTTCCCACACCTTTGTTAAGAGCCACCTTTACTTGAACCTCCCCCTGCTGCCGTAACCACTGTCGAAAGCTTCCCCCCAAGCAACCCCAAGTCTCAAGAATCAACGGGAAGAAACGAACCCCCCTGTGCTGCCGCAGAAAAGGTTGATAATCCGTCGCCTTCCTCTTCTCTCGCTCCTTGGCAGCAAAACCTACTGTCCGCCCACACTGCCCATGCTGCTGCACCGGTAGCGAAACCGGATCCACGACGCTCACCTCGAGCGCATGTTTTTCCCCGTCCATTGGTTTCCTAACCGCCACATCCACTCTCTTCCCCGGCAGAAGCGTGTCATCCTCGATCGTAACCACCCCACCCGATGCCTTGGCTATCTTAGCAACAACGAGCTTCACTGCATCATGAACACGAGACGGGGCGTACTGGTACTTGCACCGAAGAGCATGGTGCGGATCTGACGGGTCCTTGAACTCCACACCGCAAACACACTTGCCAGCAACCAGAAGCTGGTGGACGGGAAGGCCCAAACGGATTGCCGCCGAAATGCCCCACTCCACAGGGGTGAAAGTTGCGTCATCATGCGCTGGAACTGCGGACACCCATGCTGCCGAACCCGGGCCCTGAAGGGAAGTCAAACGGGCCAAGGTAGCATCATCGCGGGCCATGCGCCGCAGAGACTGAAGACTTTCAACCGCCAAGCGACGCTGCTGCGCTGGGAAAAGCTGGAGGGGGGGATTTGTAGTGCAGAGCCCCAAACTCGGCAATTCCTGCCTGACAACAGGCGGGAGCTGGTCAAGGGCCTTGGTAAACCAAGGGTCCAGTAAATCCCCAGCCGGCGGAGTGCGGAAGAACTCACTGAACATCTGCTCCTCGCCCGCTACTCCCAGCTTGACAACAGCACTCGCAGCCTGGCACCACCCACAGACGTAAGAGAGAGGGCTAAGAGTTGCTGCTGAACGAATGCCAAACCCGCCCAAACGAGCCGGGAGGTGCAGCTGCAGGTGAGCCATGCGCGACCTATCAGGACTGAAGTCCCAAGTGTCTGGCGGGAAAAGTTGCTCAAAGCACTCTTCCAAAGCCCCATCCCAATCTCTGAAAGCGTCAAGAACCTCAGGACGAGGGGGAACAGTGCGAGTCAAGAAGAGCGGCCGCGCAGACACGGCAACAGCCAACAAGTGGGAGGCAATCTGGGGGTGGTTCAAAATAGGAAGCCAAGGTAGAGGTGATCGCAGCTGCAAAAGTCTCTCCCTCAAGCGCGCCACCTCCCAATCCTCCTCTCCAATAGGTACCCCCACCACTGTTAACCCCGTCCACGACTGCTGCATTCCCAGCGGAATATCCCCAGACGCTGCCGCCTCCCCTCTTTCCCACATCCTACACTTGTGCGATTGCACCTCCAAGCCCACCCACTCCAGTCGCTCCCGCAAGACATCGTACGCCGCCAACACCCGCTCCCACGGGCCAAGAACGTAGGTGTCATCAGCGTAGCTCAAGAAAAGAAGATCAGGGAAATCCTTCACTGTAGGCCCCATAACCAACTGCTGCGTGAAAGCAAAAAGGAAGGGACCAAATGGATCCCCCTGTCGCGAACCCCGCTCGGACGCCAGCATCTCGACAAAGGGGCCTGTGCGAAGGTACAGACCGCTGGGCACCCCATAAAAGACGCGTAAGAAAGGGATAAGGCCAGCAAAAGGAGAATCGCGGAGGCCGTCGAACATCACGTGCCGATGGAACGAGTTGAAGGCATTCGCTACATCGATCTGCAGCGCGCACCACGTCGGATGAACCGCTACAGCCGAGCGGAAAGCATGCGCCAGAATCTCCACCCCCGACTTAGTCCCCACCCCTAGTTGGTTACAAGGAGCGAAGTAGGTCTCCATGTCGGGACGAAGAAGAACGCATAACGCACGCGCCAGAATCCGAGGGAGCACCTCTCCGATAGCCACTGGGCGGACGTCCCCGTTCGGCTTGGATAACCCAACCAAGTTCGAGGCTGCAAGCCAGGGCCGCACCCGCTCAGAAACGCATCCCGAAATCCACTGCCTGAACACCTCCAACAGATGCGGGAGATAGGAAGGCTCCGAGAGAAATGTGTCTCGGAGGTGCTCTGTCATCCATCATGAGGGGCCTGGTGCTGAGGCTCGCGCTGCGGAATGAATAGCATGCTTGAGGATGTCTTCAGTTAGGTGGGGAAGATGAGAAACGTCTATGCGAAAGTGCTCCACCCACTCAGGAACTGGCACCTCACTGGCCGGGTGCTTTGCTGTCAGCCGGTCTACTGTTAGTTGAGAGGGCTGCGCCAAGTCGCCCGCAGTAAGGCATGCTAGTCCTCGACTCCATTCCCCCACTTGGCACCTCGTGCGACATCGGGCCAAACGGATGGCATCAGCATCTCGCTCAGGTAAGGAGAAGGCAAGAGGTCGCGCCGCCGGAGTCAACGCGGCAGAGGCAGCCTCGAACAGCTGTTGCCATTCCCCTGCCCAGAACTTTCCGAGACGCCCTACTATGGCTGCCCTTCGTCCAAGACCCTCCTTCGCGGGGACTCCCAAAATGAGGCGCGGGAAGGCCAGGAACATCAGCGTCGCCGCCTCATCCCCAGGGGAAGCCTTCAGTCTCTTGAGAATGCAGCACAATGCATCAAGCACCCCCAGTCGCGCCCGCTGCGGGACCCGACGAAGAAGCTCTCCCGACACAGAATGAATACTGAAAAAAGTCTCCCAGTCCCACGAAGGCACCGCCCCCCACACCTCCTCGCCGATATCCCGCGGAGGTACTGGATCTGCCCCGAAGACCTCGCTCAGGTTCGGGGAGGAAGTAAGGGCCTGAGCCCGCCGCTGAGCATCTGCCGCTTTACATGCAACTATGTGGCGGGAGGCCGCACCACCAGGCGGAAATGTGTGAAAGCAGAACTCGCAAGGGACACAAGTTGGAGCAAGTGGAGCCGTGTCAGGAGTGGCTGAATTCTCCGCAACCCCCGGTGTGGGGCTTTCCGGAGGGATCGGGGGGGGCTGCTGCTGCTGCTGCTGCTGACGCTGCTGCCGCTACTGCTGCCGCTGCCGCACGCCCTGAAGTGCTGCCCTCGCCCCCAGCTGCCCCCCTGCGTGCTGCACGCCCTGAGGTGCTGCAGTCACCCCCTGCTGTCCCGCTGCCTGCTGCACGCCCTGGGGTGCTGCAGTCACTCCCTGCTGTCTCGCTGCCTGCTGCACGCCTTGAGGTGCTGCAATCAGTCCCTGCTGTCCCCCTGCCTGCTGCACGCCCTCAGGTGCTGCAGTCACTCCCTGCTGTCCCGCTGTTTGCTGCATGCCCTGGGGTGCTGCAGTCACTCCCTGCTGTCCCGCTGCCTGCTGCACGCCTTGAGGTGCTGCAATCACTCCCTGCTGTCCCCCTGCCTGCTGCACGCCCTCAGGTGCTGCAGTCACTCCCTGTCGTCCCCCTGCCTGCTGCACGCCCTGGGGTGCTGCAGTCACTCCCTGCTGTCCCCCTGCCTGCTGCACGCCCTCAGGTGCTGCAGTCACTCCCTGTTCCCCTGACAGTGGCCGCCGTCGCACCAGCTGGCCTCCCGGACGTTGGCTCGTAAGCGGCCGCCCCAACTCGCCCTCTGCCTGCTGATCCTGCTGATTGCCCGACCGCTGCTTGCCCTGGCCTCCGCGTCGCCTCCTGCCCTTGCCTCGTGGCAGTTGGTCGTCCAAGGGCCCCTGCGCCTGAGCGCCCAGCTCACGCAGCTGCTGCCCTCTCTGATCCGTTTCCCCTATCTGTAGCTCCCCAGGAGGAACAAAAAGATCTTGTTGGTGCTCCCCACTGTGGCCCGAGAGCTGTGACACAGGCACCAAATCTGTCTCCATTTCTTGCTGCTCCACTCGAAGTGGGCTCGCTACACCCATGACTTCCCATGTATCACCCACCCAGGTGCCCAGCTGCTGCCCCTGCTGCTCTCCCGGGTGCTGCTCCTCCAGCCTCAGTTCTTGCTGCTCCCCTGGCTGCATTTCCTGCTGCTCCCCTGGCTGCATTTCCTGCTGCTCCCCTGGCTGCATTTCCTGCTGCTCCCCTGGCTGCATTTCCTGCTGCTCCCCTGGCTGCATTTCCTGCTGCTCCCCTGGCTGCATTTCCTGCTGCTCCCCTGGCTGCATTTCTCAACCGCTTGTGCAGAACAGAAGGTGAACTTGCAGGACCTGCCCCAGAAATGCTATCATGATGCGAGCTCCGTCAAAATTCCAATGCGGTTCTGTACCGTATTCTACCGATGCATCATCACCTCACCACCAGAAGTCGACGTGGTTTTAATATCCTAACATGTGGGCACGTGGAGGTCAGCAGTCTGACATGGCAAGCTCGTACTCGCTGCATTCCTGCAAAGGATGCTTGCAGCGGCGAGGTCGGCGTGTGCTGGAAGATGTCCCTTTTGTTTCGCACTCCCCTTGACGAACTCAGCAGCCATCATCGCAGTAACCAAGGGATCGCCATTTAGCGCAGGAATTTCGCTTGCGTCAGGAATGTTCGCGAACACCTCTCTGAGATTCCCAGGAATGACATTTCGCATGGCTTTCTAGGACGTCATAGGATTGAGAATATTATTGATAGGATTACGGTCTGAGCTTCAAGCATACAGTTGCTCGCTCGCTATGAGGCGTCGAGGCGTTTTGGGAACCCTTTTTACTTCGACGAAGTGAAATTTGCGTTACAACAGCCACAGGCACAGCCGGACGCGGGTAGCGAATGGTAGCCCTCTCATTCGGGCGCGCACCTGTAGGTTTTTCTCTGATTACTCCATGTTGACACCACCCGTTTCTCATCGGGCACGGCTTTCTGAGTCGATCTTTGAGAGGTAGCATTCCTGCGAGTCGCGTTGGTCTAGTTGCATGAACCGAACCTAGCGCCATGAACCGAACCTCGGGCGTGAACCGTGCCTAGCTCCAAAATCCGAGCCTCGCGGATTAAACCGAGCATAGAGGCATAAACCAAGCCTAGCGCCATGGACCACGTGGCCTCAGAAGTCCTTCGCCGGATCACAGACGGAGGTGCAGCTCCCATGATCGACGGCCGACAAGGGCTCATCGACGGTCAACCAGCACTGATCGACGGCCACGAGCCAATGACCGGTTTCCGTCGCGACTGGCAAGCAGGCGGTGCTGCAGGAGGAGGAGGGGGTGTGGTAGGAGGAGCGTTACATGCGGGAGGGCTGGCTGGGGAAGGTTGGGGAGGGCTGGCTGGGGAAGATGGGGCAGGGCTGGCTGGGGAAGGTTTTATTTGGAGGCGGTCGTATCTCCGATGGCTGGGTTTGTTAGGGTCGGGGATGAGGCGCTTTATCGAGGGGTGTATCCCCGCTATAGGCGTAGCTGGCACGCATTGTATACCCGATATAGGGCGAACGAGGAAGTGCATATCGGACCCGTTAAAGGTGGCGAACTGGGTGATGGCGGGAATCGACGGCGTGATCTGGATCATCGCGCTGGTTCAGGTGAGACACGCGTCATCTGGACCGTCCAATAATGCGATGTTCAGGTAGAAATGTGTCGTCTGATTTGGACCACTGACCGAAACACTGTTCAGGTGAGATATGCAGCATCTGGACCGTCCACTGATGCACTGTTCAGGCTGGAGCGTTCAGTGATGCGTTGTGCAGGTGAGATTTGCAATGAGGCAGGTGGTGAATGCTGCACGCATGGAGTAGAGGTGTGAGAAGTTCAGGCGAATCATGCCAATGATACACTCATCAGGTAAGGAAAGAGGTCTGTACGAGCGAGGAACACGGATGGATCATGCAGTGAGACATGCAGTGAGACATGCAGTGAGGCGTGCAGTGAGGCATGCATTGTACTATGCATTGTTCACCCACCCTTCAGCACCCCTTATGATTTATTATATACATCACGGAGACACTCAGTGATATGACTCACGCTCTCATACCCTTTCCCTAACCCCCCCCATGCTCGCCTGCAGCTCATTCGCATCTGCCGCCATGTGCAGAATGGCAAGTGGACCCGTCAAAAGGTAGGCACTGGTTGGGGGTCTTGGGAGCATCTTTTTTCCATTCCATGAATCCCCACCCCATGCCTCCCCCATCCCATGCCTCCCCCATCCCATGCCTCCCCCATCCCATGCCTCCCCCATCCCATGCCTCCCCCATCCCATGCCTCCCCCATCCCATGCGTCCCCCATCCCATGAATCCCCCATCCCGTGAATCCCCCATCCCGTGAATCCCACCCACGAACATCCCATCCCAAGCGCACCAGAGATTCAGACATGTGTCAGTGAGCTGAGACATGTCTGAATCTCGCGTGAATCCCACCCACGAACATCCCATCCCATGCGCACCACCAAAAGTGCAACGACCTCACTCCTTCCTCACATTTTGCTCGCAGCAGCAGTTTCAGCACGTGTGTGCGTGGCGCATCTATCCCATCCCATGTGCCTTCACGCACTCATCTCGCCGCCTCCCCTTCCTCTCACATGCTTTGTGCACGTCCACAACCCGATGTGTCATGGCTGTGTGGCGCATCAATTCCATCCCATGCCCTCACCGTGACTTTTGAGTCGACTCAAACGTCACATCCACATCCCGATGTGTCATGGCTGTGTGGCGGGTCAATTCCATCCCATCCTATGCCCTCACAGTCGCATCACCTCCGCTGCCTCTCACATGCCCTGTGCAAAGCGCACTGTCATTGCCACGTCACCCTCCCACAGGCCTTCCATATACCGTGGTCTTTGCTGTGTCCCCCACAGGTCACGCCATCGATCGCATTTTGCCCGTGTGCCCTTGCTCGTCTCATCACCTACTCTCTCTCTCTCACACGCATTGTCATTGCCGTGTCTCCCTCCCACAGGTCTTCCATACCATGGTCTTTGCAGCAAACCTTGGTGAGTATGGAGCCGATTCACAAGCCTGTTTCACGCAGGGGACAGCACACACGCACGCATCACATGTGCCCTGCAGGTCGTCCCCTCCTCAACACACGCCATGGTCTCTGCCGCAAAGCTCGTTCACCATCAGAATCCGTCATATCTCATTTCCTGAGTCGCCTCTACCTACCATCAGTAACTCTCCTCTCCTCCAGCTGACTTTTTTTTTTCCCTGAACGTGACGTGACCCATCCACTTTCACGTGACGTGACCCATCCACTTTCACGTGACGTGACCCATCCACTTTCACGTGACGTGACCCATCCACTTTCACGTGACGTGACCCATCCACTTTCACGTGACGTGACCCATCCACTTTCACGTGACGTGACCCATCCACTTTCACGTGACGTGACCCATCCACTTTCACGTGACGTGACCCATCCACTTTCACGTGACTTGACCCATCCACTTTCACGTGACGTGACCCATCCACTTTCACGTGACGTGACCCATCCACTTTCACGTGACGTGACCCATCCACTTTCACGTGACGTGACCCATCCACTTTCACGTGACGTGACCCATCCACTTTCACGTGACGTGACCCATCCACTTTCACGTGACGTGACCCATCCACTTTCACGTGACGTGACCCATCCACTTTCACGTGACGTGACCCATCCACTTTCATGTGACGTGACCCATCCACTTTCACGTGACGTGACCCATCCACTTTTGAGGCGCCTCAGCAACTCTCCTCTCCTCTCCTTTCCTCTCCTCACACGCGGACTTTCTCTTGGGTGAACGTGACCCATCCACCACCTCCCCCTCCCCCTGCGCAGGCTACTGCATCTATTTCCTCGTCAACCCCTTTGCCTCCTGCTCCCAATGGCTCTGCTGGTCCCACGCCTGCAGCTTCATCGCTCTCGGTGCGCCCCTGCTGTCCTCTTTTGCTCCACACTTGCTCCTCCTCCTCCTCCTCCTCCTCCTCCTCCTCCTCCTCCTCCTCCTCCTCCTCCTCCTCCTCCTCCTCCTCCTCCTCCTCCTTGGGAGACCGCATACGGCTGAGCATTTTGGCCCAAGGACTGTGGCCCATACTGCAATGCCCCATCTCTATGTGCATGCCCCCATGTGCATGCCCCCATGTGCATGCCCCCATGTGCATGCCCCCATGTGCATCTACGTTGGCAGATACGCCCTGGGCAGGGTTGCGTACCACGTATATACGCTTGCGTATATACGTGGTACGCTAATACGCTCGTATTTCTTGGAAATACGCCCGGGCAGCCCGCCGAAAAAAAAAAAATCAAAATTGAAAAATTTCGCGAAGGTTTTGCGACTTGGCGATTTGTTACCGCGCAGTCGCATATCGCCCTGGGGGGGGAAGGAGAGGATGCAGTTCTGGCGGATGAGTATGGGGCAGGGGTGGTGTTGGAAAAGCCCCGCAAGGAACTCGGCTGTGTGGAGGCTAGCTAGAGGGTGGGGTGGGGATGTATGGGGTGGGGAGAAGTAGCCCCAAAGATGTATCTCTGGATAATTATGAAATTAAAAAACATGTGTTTTTCGGAAACATAACCCGCCCCCCTGAAACAGGTTTTTTTAGCCCTGCCCGGGAAAAAAGTTTTACCTGCCCGCCCGGCGTATTTTTACGTATCACCAGTACGCCACCCCTAGCGTACCGCGTATATACCCAGCGTATAATACGCTAGCGTATTATACGTGATACTCATATCTGCCAACGTAGATGTGCATGCCCCCATGTGCATGCCCCCATGTGCATGCCCCCATGTGCATGCCCCCATGTGCATGCCCCCATGTGCATGCCCCCATGTGCATGCCCCCATGTGCATGCCCCCATGTGCATGCCCCCATGTGCATGCCCCCATGTGCATGCCCCCATGTGCATGCCCCCATGTGCATGCCCCCATGTGCATGCCCCCATGTGCATGCCCCCATGTGCATGCCCCCATGTGCATGCCCCCATGTGCATGCCCCCATGTGCATGCCCCCATGTGCATTTTCTCGTGTACATCTTCCCTGTGTGTTCTGCATCATTAGATTTTTCTGTTCTTCATTTTCGGGGAAATGTTTCTGTGTGTTGAACCATCATTGCAGCTTTCCCTGTGTTCCTGCTTGCGTGTGTGTGTGTCCCATACTGATGTTACTGCTGCCTTACTTGTCACTGCCTGCGGCTTCCATGTGTCCCCCTGGGTGCTTGCCTCTGTGCATTGCATTGCAGCCATACCGCAAATCATCTTCCTTGCAACCTTCCTGCTGCTCCTCTCCTTCTGGTACGACTGGCACAGCATGGGCACAGCATGGCATGGCACAGCATGGCATGGCACAGCATGGGCACAGCATGGCATGGCACAGCATGGCATAGCACAGCATGGGCACAGCATGGCATGGCACAGCATGGCATGGCACAGCATGGCGTGGCACAGCATGGCATGGCACAGCATAACAAGGCACGATGGGGCATAGGCATGGCACAATGGGGCATGGCACAATGGGGCATGGCACAATGGGGCATGGCACAATGGGGCATGGCACAATGGCTCATGGCGCAATGGGGCATGGCATAAATCATTATGTGGCATGACAGTGTAAGTAACGTATGGCTAGACATGTTCTCTTGCTGCATCTTCCCACCACCACCACCACCACCACCACCACCACCACCACCACCACCACCACCACCACCACCACCACCACCACCACCACCACCACCACCACCACCACCACCACCACCACCACCACCACCACCACCACCACCACCACCACCACCACCACCACCACCACCACCACCACCAGGATCGACTGTGCCACCAGGCGTCAGACAGCACAGACGAGGACGAGGAGGAGGAGGAGTTTCAGGCCCCTGATTGTCGCCTCTTGTTCACGGTTTGCATGCTCCCACCGCCAACACCTCCCTTGCTGCATGTTCCCACGACCACCAGGATCGACCTGTGCCACCAGGCATCAGACAGCACAGACGAGGATGATGAGGAGGACGAGGAGGAGGAGGGAGACCTGGAAGCAGCAGCAGGGAGCAGCAGAGCTAGCAGGGGAGGGCTGGGTGTGGGCGATGGTGCTTATGCATTCAGTGGTATGGGAATGGGCGCGGGAGTGGGCATGGGCGCAGGTGGGAGCGGGCTGCTGAGGCATAAGTCGAGCCCCATTCCGCCCATGCCACCGGCGGCGCAGCAGATAAGCTCACATTACTCACAACAGCAGCAGCAGCAGCACCAGCACAGTGTTGCTAGTAGCGCTCCACCAGCACATACTGCAAGCAGCAGCCTTGCAGGAGCAGCGAAAGGGGCGAGGGGAGCAGCCACACGAACTGACTCAGTGTCTGCTGCTGATGCTTCCACCACCACTACTGCTGCCTCTTCCAACCTCACCTCTCCCCTCGCCTCCTCTCGCTCCCTCTCCCCTGATCAATCCGAAGCCAGCAGCACCAGCGGCACCCCCCCCTCCTCCCACTCCGCCCACTCCCTTGCCACCGCAGCCAGGCATTCCCTGGCACAAAGTGGGCGGGGAATAGTGGTGGGGAAAGGTGCGGAGGGGCATGGCGTTTCCCTGCAGCAGCCGCTGCTGGATGCTGCTGCAGGGGTGATGGGTGGCGTGGGGAGGCAGGGCGCAGGGGGTGGAGGAGGAGGGGGAGGAGGGGGAGGGAGAGGGGGATTAGGAGGAGGAGGAGCGGGGAGAGGAGGGGTAGGGAGCAGTGCGGCGAGTGATGGGGCGAGGACCCCTCGGTTCCGCTGGCAGAAGCTCAGAGTGAAGGGCCGGCAGCGCATCGTGCTTGCGGTAAGCTGCAGATGGGCTTGAGTGTTTCTGTCATTTGCTTGTGGGGGAGGGAGAGGGGGGTTAGGGAGCAGTGCAGCGAGTGACGGGGCGAGGACCCCCCGTTTCCGCTGGCAGAAGCTGAGGGTGAAGGGCCGGCAGCGCATCGTCGTAGCTGTAAGCTGCAGCTGAGCTTGCGTGATAGTTTTTACCCACTTTATGTGACCCCCTCGGCCCTCTGTCGTTTTGCCTTTCTCGTTGTTTCGACATGTCCTGCCATGCCATGCCATGCCCCGCCATGCCATGCCATGCCATGCCATGCCATGCCATGCCATGCCATGCCATGCCATGCCATGCCATGCCATGCCTTGCCATGCCATGCCATACCATGCCTTGCCATGCCATGCCATGCCATGCCATGCCTTGCCATGCCATACCATGCCTTGCCATGCCATGCCATACCATGCCTTGCCATGTCATGCCATGCCATTCCCTCACCTTGTCTGCCAACCCCCCGCCCCAACACCACCAGGTAGTGAGCTCCATCTCGTTACCCACAGTAGTGTTCGAATTTTGAGAATTCTCAAAAGTACCCTCAAAAAACCCTTCCCCACCACGCCCCACCACCACAACCATCACCATCAGGTGGTATCGTTCATATCGCTGCTGACTGCAGTGTTCGCCTGCCTCATCTGGTACGGCTTCGGAGACAACCCCATCGACCCCACGCTCATGGCGCAGGTCAGTCAGCACCACTGCCTCGCCTCCTCCTCGCCTCATGGCACCGCTCACCACCACTGCCTTCTGGCCTGCTTGCCTCCTTACCTCTTCATGCCTCCCTGCCTCCTCGCCGTTCTCATCTGGTACGGCTTTGGAGACAAACCCATCAACCCCACGCTCATGGCGCAGGTCAGCACCACGCCCCTTTCCTCGCAGGGTCCCTGCCTGCTTCTCTCCCTGCCTCCCTGCCTCCCTGCTTGCCTCCCTGCCTCCCTGCCTCCCTGCTTGCCTCCCTGCCTGCTTGCCTCCTTACCTGCTTCCCTGCTTGCCTGCCTGCCTCCTTGCCTCCTCTGCTATCTTGCTCCCTCCGATTTTTTCCCCATTATCCCATTCTCCCCGCCCACGCCCAACCCCACCAGATGCATGCAGACTTCTTTGCAGCCGCCACGCTCCTATCAGATGCATGCAGAGGGCTGCCTTCCTACGGGCTGCTGCCCTTTCTTCTCCTAGCAATCCCTCACAATCCCTCCCCACCCTCCCGCCATTCTCCCATCCACTCCCACACTGCCATCGCTCCTATCATGCGGGGGGCTGGTCTTCCACGGGCTGCTGCTCTTCTCTTCTCCTGGCAATTCTCCTGAATGCCCCCACCCCCACACTTCCCGCACTACCCCCAACCCCACCAGATGCATGCAGACTTCTTTGCAGTCGCCACGCTCCTATCAGGCGGGGGGCTGGTCTTCTACGGGCCGCTGCTCTTCTCTTCTTCTTGCACTCCCTCACAATCCCTCACAATCCCTCCCCACCCTCCCACCATTCTCCTACCCACTCTCCTACCCACTCCCCCACCATCAGATGCATGCAGATTTCTTCGCAGTCGCCACGCTGCTATCTGGAGGGGCGGAGGCCTGGCCTTCTACGGGCTGCTGCTCTTCTCGTTTCCTCACAATCCCTCCCAACTCTCTCACCATCCCTCCTAACTCCCTCCCACCCACACCCCCCGTCAGATGCATGCGGACTTCTTTGCAGTCGCGACACTGTTATCCGGTGGCGGCCTCGCCTTTTACGGACTACTGCTCTTCTCCAAAATGTCGGTTCTCAGGGCCGGCCCCAGCGCCGCTGACCTCAGCAAGGTGAGTGAGTTGTGACTGTGCTGCTAACCAAGCAAGCACCACTCAACACCACTGGGCACCGCTCAACACCTCTCAATACCTATCCGGTGGCGGGTTGGCCTTCTACGGGCTGATGTCTGTTCTCAGAGCAGGACCCAGTGCTGCTGACCTCAGTAAGGTGCGTGTCGCATGTTGTGAGGCGAGGTTGCTCAACACAACTCCGCACCGCTCACCACCGCTCCGCACCTATCAGGCGGAGGCCTGGCCTTTTACGGACTGCTGCTCTTCTCCAAAATGTCGGTGCTTAGGGCCGGGCCCAGCGCTGCTGACCTCAGCAAAGTAAGTGCTGTTGTCGTCAGTAAGTAGGTGCTTGCTGACTGTGCTGCTGACCTCAGCAATGTTTATATGATATAAGGCAAGACTGCTCAACACCACTCAGCACCACTTCGCACCGCTCTAAAGCCACTTCTTTCCTATCTGCTGCAAAGGTTGTCTGTTTGACTCATGTCTCCTCCTTCCCTGCATTCTCTGCGTGCCTGTTTCTCCCTGCTTTTGTGATCCCTCTGCTGTTCACCCTCGCATCCCACCCTCTCCACATCAGATTGCATGGCTGGCGGGCATGTGTCTGCTCTGCTTCTCCCTCCGTGCATTCATCGTCCTCGCCAAATACATCCCGGTCAGTGCCCTTTCCTCAAATTTTGAGGCATCTCAAAACTACATCCCGGTCAGTGCCCTTTCCTCAAATTTTGAAGCATCTCAAAACTACATCCCGGTCAGTCAGTGCCCTCACTGCACAGCTTCTGCTCTGCTTCTCCCTCCGTGCATTCATCGTTCTCGCCAAATACATCCCGGTCAGTGCCCTACCTCACACACTTTGTTGCCTTATGAGACGTCCTCTGACCTGAAATACATCCCGGTCAGTGCCCTCACTCACGCTACCTCCTTGACCCATGCCTCATGCCTCATCCCTCGAACCCCGCCCCTCATGCCCCACCCTATTGTGCCCCATCCCTCATGCCCCACCCTTTTGTGCCCCATCCCTCATGCCCCACCCTTTTGTGCCCCATCCCTCATGCCCCACCCTTTTGTGCCCCATCCCTCATGCCCCACCCTTTTGTGCCCCATCCCTCATGCCCCACCCTTTTGTGCCCCATCCCTCATGCCCCACGCTTTTGTGCCCCATCCCTCGTGCCCCACCCTTCGAACCCCACCCTTCGTGTCCCACCCCTAGTGTCTCACCTCTTGTGTCTCACCCGTTGTGCCCACCCCTTGTGCCCATCCCTTGTGCACCACAGCCCATCATGAATCTCTCCTTTCGGGACAAGCATGGCAACCTGCTTCCTTTCTGGTTCCTCGTCTACCATTGCATAGGTGCGTGCGTCATCAGCAGTGCCAGTGGTCGGTACGTACCAGGTGCAATGCTGTGCAGTGCGGTACAATGCATGCTCTCTCCTTTCGGGACAAGCACGGCAACCTGCTGCCCTTCTGGTTCCTCGTCTACCACTGCATAGGTGCGTTGCCAGCTGGTGCAATATTGGGGGTTCCAAGCAGTGCCAGCAGCTGCCCTTCTGGTTCGTTGCCAGCAGCTGCCCTTCTCGTTCGTTGCCAGCAGCTGCCCTTCTGGTTCGTTCCTCGTCTACCACTGCATAGGTGCGTCTTCCTGGCATTCATGGGTTGTTTGTTACCAACAGTTCCAGCCATGACAAGTGTGCCAGTGCATAGGTGTGTCGGCAGCGCCGCAGCGGTATCTATGTGATGCCAGTGACAAGCAGGGAGGGAACGATGCAGACGCCGCTCACAGCCCAGCAACAGGGTGTTTTTGACACCCCGCAGCGGTAACGATGCAGAGAATTTTCAAAAACACCCCGCAGCGGTATCTATGTGAGCGGTGCAGACGCCGCCCACAGCCCAGCAACAGTGCCCCGCCACATCGTTCCCTCCCTGCTTGTCACTGACCCCACATCACACTGTCCCCACTTTCCCTTTCCCTCCCCAGGCGAGACAGTCCCATCAGCCATGGTCCTTTTCATTCTCAAGGACCTTCCGCCCAAGTCCCGCCTCCCCTCCCACCCCTCCCTCCCCTCCTCCTCCTCCTCCTCTCGCCCCTCCTCGCGTCACGGCACCCGAACCCAGTCTTCTCGCTCTCGCACCTCTATCCTCCCCACCAACCTCCCCACCACCGCCTCCTCCTCCTCCACCTCCCCGCATCCAGCGTCCATCTTCTCTTCTCTCGCTCCCGGGCGGCCTTTGCTCGCCTCGCCCCACCACCCAGGTGCAGCAGCAGCAGCTTTCCTTCTCCCCTCTGCTGCTGCCGCTGCCGCTGGCACTGCTGTTGGTAGCAGTGGTAGCGGTGGTGGGCGTGGGGTTGGTGGTGGTAGTAGCGGTAGCAGTGGTAGCAGTGGTGCTGCTTTAGCAGCCTCCCGACCTGGTGGTCACATGGGCAGCAGCAGCAGTGCCATTGCCCGTCTCCCTGCTCCTCCTCTCGCCCCTCTCCTCCCCCAGTGGGTCGTTCCCCCTGAGGGCGAACCCTACTCTGTCCTTCCCCCCGCCGCTGCTGCTGCTGCGTCTTCCTTTGCTGCTCTGGCTGCTGCTGCTGCTGTGGCTGCAGCGGCAGAAGCAGCGGCAGCGGCTGCAGAGGCGGAGGAACAAGGGAGGAGGAAAGGGAGTGGGAAGGGGCGGGGGAGAGGGAAGGGGGGGGCTGGGAGAGGAGGAGGAGGGGGGGCGGAGAGAGGCGGGAAGGCGGGAGGAGGCAGGGGGAGGGCGAGGGGGGAAGTGGGTACAGAGGGTAATGCAAGAGGACCAGTAGGTGTGGATACAGGGGTGTCACTAGCGGGAGCGAGTGGAGTAGGGGGAGGGGCAGTTGGGGGAAGGGGAGAGGGGTCCCCGGTGGGAGAAGGACGAGGAGAAGGGAGAGGAGAAGGAAGAGGAGCGGGAGGAGCAGGGGATGGCACAGAGGGTGCAGTTCGTGACAAAAGCAGCAAGACAAAGAAACCGTCTAGGGTGAGTTTCTGGACTTCAATCGTAAGCTCTCTTTTCTCTTCAAAGAAAAGAGAGCTAGGGTAAGAAGCTCTCTTTTCTTTGTTTCTGGTTTGATTCTTGTCATCTCCCCTCCTCCGCACATGTGCCCCCTGCTGCGTGTCATTCTTACCCAACTGCTTGCTCACCACGCAACCCCCAACTGCTCTTGCCGCAATCTTCCTATCTTTACTCTTTTCACTCTCCTTTCCTCCGCCCTCCCTGTTCCCCAACCACCCATCCCCACTCTTTGTTACTTCTCCCTCACCCATCCTCCTTACTCCCTGTTATTCCCTCCCTCCTCTTGTTACTCCCCCTAACCCCCCGTCCTCTTTTCCGTTTCCCCCCCCCCCTGTCGACCCCATTTCCCCCCTGGACCCCCTCCTTCCAAGCAGCTTCGCATGGCCAGCTAACTGAACCAGGCCACACCATCTCAGTTGATCCCACAGGTGACAGGTCTGTTTCCTATGCGCATTCCTATGCACATTCCTATGCGCATTCCTATGCGCATTCCTATGCGCATTCCTATGCGCGTTCCTATGCGCATAGAGACCGTATGAATGCATTGACCTGGATAGTTTCCACGTGGCCAGCTGAAGCAGCATCAGGTGTTAATTGAGATATTGTGCAGTGTGGTGAGAACGGAATTTCCTTTTATATGCTGCAGTGAAGAGCTGCACCTGGTGCAGTGCGGTGCTGTGCGGTGAGAGCATTGAACCGGAGCCGCTGGCGGCCCCCATGGTACGGTAACTAACAAGCAAGGAAGTCAACTTTCAATTGACAGATTCTAGTGCTCAGGTTTCTTAACAAGTCATCATGTTTTTGTTGTACCGTAAAAGGAGCACCAAATTTTGACACTGATGGTAGGGATGTCAAAAACATGTGGGACAATGTACAGCTCTTCAGTATGACATGGTAATGCTTCCCTAAAGAATCCTCAAACCTGCATGTTCCTATGGCCTGTAGTCAGGCAAACCCTCGTAAGATTCGCGTCGAACCGCACTAAAACGCATGTAACTGCAGTCGAACACACTGTAACGATATGAACCACGCGAAAAACACTAGCCGTCTAGGAAGATTTAGTCACACGACCCTACGTGAGCATTTGGCCGAGTGGTTAAGGCGTGTGCCTGACTTCATTAACAGTATTCCTAGGTACATGGGCATATATATAGAGTATGTACAAGAAGACCTAGAGCAAGAAAACAAGGAAACAAGAAAACAAGAAAACAAGAAAGTGTGAACATGAGGGGGACGAGACAAGTACAAGGAGAAGAACAGAAGTGGTTACAAAACAGAGAGGACTGAAAGGACAGAAACAGCAACAAAAGGAAGTCAAAACAACTTGAAACACAAAACAGAAAAACAACTTGAGAGCACAAAACAGAACCCTGTGAAACACATCACAAACAAACAACCCAACAAACAGAAATTGACCCACAAGACCAGAGAGGGGAGACTCACAAACTCGCAAAGTATCCCTACTGAAGAGCACCTACAAAGGTTAAACCTGTTGAAATGTATTTGTTACATATATATACCTGCCTACAGTTGATCCTAGTGTAGCTATATGCTTCTTGTGTTGGTGGTGCACCTCCCCTCCTTTCTCCTATATGTTCTGTTTTTCCTATAGTGAATCCCCTCCATTCTCGCTATCCTTTGGCACAACCTACTCGATACCCTCCTTGCCTAGGCTCCTAAGCCTAGGCATCCTAAACCTAAGTACCTCCTTAACTTGACATGGTTTCAGAGCGGTTACTTTCCTAGGCCGTTCATAAGTCATGGGCCCACCCACTTCCTGCTTAGGTATGGCGTGTGGATTGCGCCCCTCTCGTCCCGCCCCCTGTTACGCGTCCGTCACTGGATTCGTAGCGACGGTCGCGGACGAGCTGGGCGCGAACCCCCCCCTCGCCAGACCCGTCGCGCTCCCCGTCACTGCTGCCTCGTCACGCTCTGCCAGCCAGCAGCAGCACGTGCGCCCGCCAGAAGCAGTGCGCGCACACGCCAGAGGCGCACGCACGTCAGCGCACGCGCGCCTGCTGCAGAATGCAGCGCTCGCCCACGTTTCGTTTCCCCCTCCCCCCCTCCCCCCGTCGCGCCCACTTCAGCGCTTGTTGCGGCGCCGGTCGCGGCCCCCTTTTGCCCCCGTCGCCGCCCATTTCGCACCCCCCCATCTCCCCACCCGCGCCTACCGCTGCGTTTCTGCGTGTGGGGGACGTGATGGGTGGGGGGTGGTGGTGGGATTTGGCGGGCTGCAGGGGGGGCGCTGTGGGGGTGGCGCTCTCGGGCCTGCACCGCCAGCTCGCCCTGCCGTGCTTCCTGATGTGGGGAGGAGGGTGAGGGGCGTGAGGGGGTGGCGTGAGGGTCCAGACGTCAACAGCCGTCGCCTTCTCCTCCCTCTCCCTGCTGCTCCTGCAGCGGGTGGGGGGGGGAGGGAGGATGAGGGGGTGGTGGGAGCCTCCAGCCATCTTTCCTCCTACTCTCTCCTCTCCATTTCCAGCCACCTCCTCCTCTCTCCTCTCCTCCTCTTCTCTCCTCTCCTCCTCTTCTCTCCTCTCCTCCAGCCGCATCTCCTCTCCTCTCCTCTCCTCCAGCCGCTTCTCCTCACCTCTCCTCTCTCCTTTCAATTTCCAGCCGCATCCTCCTCCGTATGTTCTCCTTGCTCCAGTCGTCTCCGCCGTTGTGCGGGGGAGGTTTCACGGGGGGGGGGAGGGGGAGAGGTTGGAGAGGTTGGAGGGGGGTGGCCGTCGTGAAGCCCGCAGCGCCAGTCGCCAGTGGCCCGTTGCTCCAGTCGCCCGTGGGTCTGTTGCTCTAGCCGTACGAGCGGGATGCTCCAGGCGTACGAGCCCGTTACCCCAGTAGCCCGTGAGCCAGTTGCTCGAGTTGCCAGTGTGCTAGCAGCTTCAGCCGCCGCCCACCTCCTCCTCTCCTCTCTCGCACTCTCTACCCTCCGTGTACCACTTCAGGGGGTGCTGTTGTTGCACATGGTTCTCACTGTAGGCAGCTAGGGGGTGTGTTGAAATGTATTTGTTACATATATATACCTGCCTACAGTTGATCCTAGTGTAGCTATATGCTTCTTGTGTTGGTGGTGCACCTCCCCTCCTTTCTCCTATATGTTCTGTTTTTCCTATAGTGAATCCCCTCCATTCTCGCTATCCTTTGGAACAACCTACTCGATACCCTCCTTGCCTAGGCTCCTAAGCCTAGGCATCCTAAACCTAAGTACCTCCTTAACTTGACAAAACCCCCTCAAATGCGGGGGTTGTACAAATATCTCAAAGTTAGCGAACAACGGAATGTGTGAACTAGGGAAACAAGGGATACAAATAGCAACCCTAAAAGTGTTGTACTCCCTAGAGTGCTAGCCTAAGAACCTATAATAACATTTGACACACCCCCATAGGCTAAGTGAGGGGCATCAAAGCAAGCAGGGTGAACAAACGGTCACAAGACCAGTCAATGCAAGAAGCAAAGCAAGCTCAGGGTGGATCTCAAGGACACCACACAAATTCCGAGCACAAGCAAGCGACCACAAGGCCAGTTCAAGAGTTCACTAGGATATATATAGCAAAGCACAACAAGCAGAGCAAACAGCAAGTCTACAGCAACCGAGGGCCTACCTCAACAAGCCCCAACTGCACACAGAACCTGTGGTGGTCACCAAGCGCCAGGGCCTTGGTGAAGACGTCTGCAGTGTTGGCCTCTGAGGCCACAAAGTCCAGGCGTGCCTGGCCGCGTCGTTGTAGCTCTCGCAGAAAAAAGTACCTCACGTCAATATGCTTCACTCTGCTCTCCAGTCGAGGCTCTCGACACAGGAGGATCATGGCCTTGTTGTCAGCGTACAAGGTCGGTGCAGAGCGAGGCCGCTCACCAAGGTCGGCGAGCAAGAAGGTCAACCAGCGAAGCTCCTGTGCCGCCATGGCACCAGCGTATATCTCTGCCTCTGCACTGGAAGTAGCCACAGACGACGACCGTGTAGACCTCCACGACACAGCACCAGCACCCAAACTGAAGCAGTAACCCTGAGTCGAGCGCTGAGTCTCCATGTCGTCAGCGTAGGAAGAGTCGCAGTGACCAGTCAACGCCACTGGCTGAGTCCCTCCAAGCACAAGCCCCATGCCTGATGTAGTCGCCAGGTACTTCGCCACCCTCACAGCAGCTGTCCAGTGGACAGGACGGTGTCTCCCAGTCGCAACAAAGCGAGAGAGGACGCTGAGGGGAAAGGCGAGGTCCGGCCGAGTACAAGTCATCAAGTACATGAGGCAGCCCACCAGCTCTGCGTAGGGACCACTGGACTCAAAAGGCTCGTCGGGAAAGGGGCCAGTGAGTCTGTGGTCAACAGCAAGAGGTGTGGGCTGTGTGGTGGAGAACTGGAAGTCGAACCGCCGAAGGACCTGCTGCACCATGTGTGACTGAGTCAGTGTGATGGTGCGAGCGGCTCTGTCCCTGGTGATCTGCAGGCCAAGGTAGCGCTGCAGTTCACCTAGGTCAGTGCACGTGTGTCTCTTCTGCAGTTCGGACTTCACCTGAGCTAGAGCTGCCCTGTCTGCTGTGGCAAAGACCAAGTCGTCGACGTACACTAGTATAAAGAAAGGAGTGGAACCAGTGCAAACAAACAGCGACGGGTCGGCAGAGGATGGACAAAACCCAAGGTCACGAAGCGTGGAGCGAAGAGTGTCGTGCCACTCACGGGGCGACTGGCGGAGACCGTAGACTGGCCGTCTCAGGCTCCACTGGGTCCCAGGTGGGAAGGTGTCAGTGAAGCCAGGAGGGCGGCGCAGCCAGATCTCCTCGTGTAGTCGGCCCTGGAGAAACGCAGTAGAGAAGTCAAGGGAGTGCAGCTCGTAGTCTCGCTGTGCTGCTACGTGCAGTAACACCCGAAGAGTAGTCATCTTCGGGGTCGGGGCGAAGGTCTGGAAGAAGTCAACTCCCTCATGCTAACTGAAACCCCTAGCCACGTAGCGCGCCTTGAACACAGGCGGTGATCCAGGCGGCCGCTTCACCTTGAAGAGCCACATGCCATCGACTACGTTCGCCCTGGGAGGGGGAACTGCGTCGACGTACGTGCCTGTAGATCTCCAAGACGCTAACTCCGAGGCCATAGCCGCTTTCCACTGTGAGGCCCACGCCCCTGACACTGCCTCGCGGTAAGTGCGAGGAGTCGGTATGTCAAGGGCGTCGGGGTCTCCCTCAGGGGATAGCAGCATGGCACAGACAGAGGGGGAAGCGGCTGCCCAGTACTCCAGCTCAGACTCTCTGTCCTCTAGGACGTCACAGCCAAGGGCAAACCCACCCCCGACGGACAGAGGACGGGAGGGAGGAGCTGGCACCACACGGGTGGTGTAGTCAAGGCGACTGGCGGCAGCAAACTCAGCGACAGCGGCAGTGAGAGCCGAGACAGACGACGGAG